AATAACAAAGTCAGATGGTACAATTTTTGAGAAAAGGGAATGTATGTAACTTAAACATAAAACAGAGACTGCTCCTAAGAGTAAGAGAACTATTTGATGTAAATTTCAGAAGGGTTTATGGAGAGGTTTATTAGCTTATAAAAAAGAAGTAGGAATACTTTTCTTTATCTAACGGGCCTGGCTGTCATAGAAATTGGCATAGCTTCTGAGGGGAAAAGAAGCAGAGAGATCCGGAAGAAGGAACTCAGCTGAAGAGCAGTCAAGAGGATCACCTTTGCTAAACACCAAGAATCCCTCTTCCCCTTCAAATGCTGGAATAAGTAAGGATCTTTCTCTCAATTTACAAAGCAGTTAGTAAATCAAAAAATAAAACTAAGAGGACCTGTCCAGATTTTGGAAATTGTTGATAGGGCTATCCATCAGAGAGAGAGATGATAGGAAAGCAGAAAGAAGAAGAAGAAAGAAAAAAGGAAAAGGGAAAACCTCACTTCTCCTTCCTGAGCTGAAGAGAGACGAGCAAAAAGACTTCTCAGAATACACGGCTGCTTGCAAATTAATAAATTGTAATGAGAGACCGATTTTTACCAAAGTTTTTTTCAGGAGTAAACAGATATGGCTGCATCGGGAAGCCTTGATATATTTGAACTGACAGATTATTCAACTATTTAAAGATTTTCGAAGTACAGAAGTTGTGACTATGTACTAAGTTACTTATAAAACCAACTTTACGGCCATTCGGTGTAAAAAAGAAGTTTCAAGTCAACGTAGAGAACACTTAGTGACTACTTTTATGGCTTTTGCTTTCAGCAAAGTCTGTAAAGAATTAAAGTATTAAAAGTAGAGCTCACAAAAAAGGAGCTTGCAGAAACCCAAAGCTATGCTTTTGCTAATGGAGGAGCTTCTCCTGTGCCTTTGCCAAACTGAAATTGGATCTTTTCTTTCAACTGCTACTATTTTTAACAAAATACTGTATGTGGACAGGTTTAGTGCATCAAATGAAAAACAATACTAATCTTTTATAAGGCAGAACAGAAGGAAAAAAGTGTGGAAAAAAATGAGGATGGAGGGAAAAAGTGATTCGTAAGGGCTAGTATTTTATGAGATCCTTCTCATAAAGAGAAATCTGATGAAAATGGTCTTTCAACAGGATTGCTAGGTTGGCTAATGTCCATATCATTTTCCTCTGAGCTGATGAAATGGTTGCCACCTACTGACAGTGGAAGTTTGTTGTACATTTCTCCCCATAACATTGCAAGCTGAAATTCAAACCAGGGCCAAGGTAAAGCTTTTCCACAATTGGAAACTAGATCTGTCAGTCACAAAATAATAATCCTCTTCTCTCCTGCTACCCAGCCTAGCATTTTCTTTATACAGGAAGCTGTGGGAGGGGAAACCTCAGTATTTACTGTCACATATTTTTCTCTCACTGATTCACTCCCATGCTTGTTGCGAGACCCTTGTATTTGTAAGGTATTGTAAACTGTCTTCTGAAGTGGGCAATACAATCATACACCTTTCACAATGTAGATGATCAGATGAAGCTGCTCTCCAGTTAATGAACTGCTGATAATTTCTGCATGAATTGATAACTTTTAAAATCATTACGATGCTTTGATTGTTCAAAAAAGTTCATGACAATTTGGAAAATCACTTTGAAACTATATAAGCATGCAAATCAATGTTTGGTCAATATTTGTGATATCTTGGCAATTCTCCTACAAAAAAAATAAATAAAACCCAAAGCCTTCTATCACTCAGCATTACCAAACGTTTCATAGCCATAATTCCACCTAATTCACATAATTCAACTAAGGATTATGACTTACTGTACATGTTGATATCATGAGCAAAAAATGAATTATATAGAAAAAAGTGCCAACAATTTCTTGTTCTTATGTGACCTTCCTCTATGCACCTTCTACATTAATATCTGGCTAGCCATTGTGCAAAATGAAATTTTGGACTTGCTGACTTCTCTCAAAAACATTTTTTAAATTTTTATATGATACTGCTTTATCTTTGGCTTTCAGTATTTTGTTTTAAACCAAATGAGTCATTTCCATTAACAAATGTAATTTATTTTCCCATATGATCATTAATAAAAACAAAAAAATTATATTGTTGGTAAAATCTAGTCTCTACCACTTTAGAATATCAGCTACAAGTCTGCATATTTTCCCAAATTCTACGGTTCTTTCTCTGAAGAAAAAAAAAACCTGCCATTGTGATTTAGTGGCAAATTATAGCAATGAGTCGTTTATTTTTTTCTTTACAAAGCCAATGTCATTTCAAATTTAATTAAAATGATAATTTTGTTATTTTTTCCAAAGTGGATCCATTAGGATGATGGGAATTTTTTGCTATCTGAAATGTTCAGATGTATTGGATTAGTTTTCTTGGTTATAATAATCAAGCCAGGAAGGAATGATCTGGCACTGGACAGATTATAAGGTCCTTCCACAGGAAAATTCCATTCAAGTTTCAAAGCAGCTCTCCACCTCTATATTCCTACAGTGTTGGAAAGCTGAGCTCAGTTGTTTCCATTTTAGATATAGTGTGATTGAAACTGCTGGGAATCTAGGGTTGGTTGACTGATTTTTAGATACTATGGCTATTCCCCAGCTGAATAAATTCCTACATCGCTCCTTACACTGACTTCCAGAGCCATTATACCTTGGGCATTATACCTTCCAGCTTTTTCATGCAGGGCTGTTTATCTATGATGGTCAGATCTCTGTGATTGTTTGGACAATAGAGTCAACTATAATAGTGACTGACCAGTAGTGATGATGAGGCTATATTGTGAATTGGAAAAGAGTTAGCTTCTTGCTGCCATTTATAGAGCAATACTACCTCATGCTTTTCAACTGCTATTGAGACTGCTTCTGCACTCAGGTTTGGTGTTCTTCTGGAAGCTTGATAAGCCCAAGTTTAAAAACAGCTTGGACAGCATCTGACAGATAAAGTGGCAGAGAGAAGGTGCAGGTGCAACCTCTAACACCACTTCTCATAGCTATCTTTCATGCTCTTTAGAATAGCAAAGCAATAGCATTTAGACTTATATACCACTTCACAGTGCTTTACCACTCCCTCTAAGCCAGTGGTTCTCAACCTGTGGGTTGGGACCCCATTTGGGGTCGAACGACCATTTCACGGGGGTCGCCAAACAAGGCTGTCCGCCATTTTTCCCCCTTTTCTTTGGCCACGCCCCTGGCACCTGGTGATGTATAAGTGGTTGGGGGTCACCACAACATGGGGAACTGTATTATGGGGTCGCGTCATTAGAAAGGTTGAGAACCACTGCTCTAAGCAGTTTATAGAGTCAGCATGTTGCCCCCAACAATCTGGGTCCTCATTTTATCAACCTTAGAAGGATGGAAGGCTGAGTCAACCATGAGCTGGTAAGATTCGATCTGCCAAACTGCTGGCAATCGGTAGTCAGCTGAATTAGCTTGCAATGCTGCATTCTAACCTCTGAGCCATCACGGCTCTTTCAGAAGGACACTAAACTTATGTAAGAAAAATCTATAGGTTTAGCATTTCTGAAAAGTTTTGAGTTTAGATAGTTCCAAATAGCAGCTGACCTATAGTGAGGATTGTAGCACAATGAAGTAGAAAAGAAAGAACTAGTTAAAATGTACACATACACACACACAGAGAGAGAGAGAGAGAGAGAGAGAGAGAGAGAGAGAGAGAGAGAGAGAGAGAGAGAGAGAGAGAGAGAGAGAGAGAGAGAGAGAGAGAGACCAATACACACACCGTTTTTGTTCAGGCTGCTAACTATATGGGCTGATGATCCGAATATCTCAGCTTGGAGACATAGCAAGACCTTCTTCTCGCCCTCCCTCTGTTACTTACCTCCCCTATCCTACTGCTCCTCAGACTGGGAAAGATGGTGACTAAAAAAGGGGCTAGTTCTGACAGAGGGTTAAATGGTGGGTACTAGCTGTCTCTTAAAACTCTTTCCAGTTACAACAGCGCTATCATTGTTGGAACAGCCTGTTTGGCATACATGGTGATGTACCTTGCTAGAAACCAGGAGGCTGTGAGTTCTAGTCCCGCCATAGGCATAAAACCTATCTCAGGTCAGTCACTCTCTTTCAGCCTTTGAAAGAAAGCAATGAAAAACCATTTTTGAAATTTTCCCAGGAAAACTGCAGGGACTTATCCTGGCAATTACCAGGAGTTAATACTGACTCAAAGGCTCCAAAAGAAAAAAGAAAAGTCACTGTTTGGTAGTTTTACTGCAGCTTGATGACATTGAGAAGGTTTCAGTTGGGAATGGGATCATCAAAATCTTTTGCTTTTCTGCCAGCTCACAGATGGAAAGCAATTTAACTGGGACATGGAGAGTTGCTCTGGATGAGATCAATACACGTGGGAGATTGCCTTTTAGTTTTTGCTAACCTACTTATTGAAATGTATGACAAATATGTTTTGTATTATGCTAGCCTAGCCAAGACATTTTTTTGGTATTATGACTTGACCCTGATGGAGTTCACTTTGTGCTCTCTTCTGAATAGGAAAGTCTCTAATTGGCTAATGTCTCCTTGACAGCACAGGAGGATGTTTGCATCTATTCTTCAGTACTTTTAATATTTTAACTCAGTGTTCCCCAACCTAGGAATGTTCAAATTTAGACTTCATATCCCATCAGTCTCAACTAGCATAGCCAAAGGAATGGGGATGATGAAATTTGGTACAACACGAGGAGAACAGCAAATTGAGAAGGACAGTAGTACACTATAATGTATCATACAGAGATCTCAATCAGCATTCCATATTTCAACCTTGCTTTAATGAGATGGTATCACCTATTCAATGCAGGTGCCTGCCAACTTATTTCATGTGACTGTCAATATCAATACAATTATTGCTGTAGGTCTTTTTAGCCTTGGCTGCTATATTATTTAGTTTTTAGTTAGGATATAGTATTCATTTAGTTGCTGTGTACCAACTACTCCTAATGTTGTGTTGAAATTTTTTTTTTTCTCTTCTAGGCAAATATCTCAAACCATCTGAACAATTTTGAATGCCTGTTCACCCCACTCTATGTGGTAACAATAAAACAAATGTTGCTGCTTTCTAGCATTTATATTTCAGATTTTATTTGTCTATAATCAGTGAAGTATAATAGAATATTTTTTTTAGATTACATTGTGACATTATAGCTAGCCTAGTAAATCAATGGGTACAGCTCATTTTGGAATTTTCTTTAAAGTTCAAGATATCTACTTTTGCTGTTTCTCTTTTTGGTGGTTTTTTTTTTTTTTTTTTTTTTTGCTATTTTTGACCTGTAAATTTGGAATAATGGGAATATAATTTGAACATATCTGAAGGCAACAGACTGAAGAAAGATAACATCCCCACCTTCTAGAATTAGCATGTGGTTGCAAACACTCATCTTCTTTCAGCCAATCCCATTTCATGGAATGTTAACATTTTGTTTAGCGCAGGAACTTACAGAAGCATTGAGACTTAAAAATATTTGTTCCTATGGAAAAAAAGCAATGTTCTTATGGCATAAAAGACTTGCTTATTCCAGCATTAAGTACAGACATTGTGTTTTGTCCATTGTTCTGCAGAGTATCTGATCTACCATTGTATATTGTCAGACTGGGTCTTATTACTCTTCTCAATGCGAGATAACAGATTTGAATTACAGCCATAATTATAGATGTAATTAGAGAGATTAGATTCCATTCTCACAGCTCCTTTCTTGCTGAATGAGCTACAAGATTCAATTCATTAATTGTTGTATATGATGAGGTCATACTAAAAGGAATATGCGAGATCTCTGATGATCAGTTTCTTCCGAGTTGTATCTAACTGCCTCTCCAATTAGCCTTCCAAATGCACTGGACTTCCCATCCCACAGTCTCCATCAAACATGCCCAAAGGGATGGTTAGAGACACAAGGTGATTTTTGTTGCTGTTTTTGGTCTTCTGCAGGTAACAGCAAGTTTAAATAATGGGAGTAATATGGAGAGAAGTGTTAACCCTTTTCCCAGGGACTTGATCACAATCCATTTCTTCATCTATTTACTAACTGCTTGCTTTTCTACCTTTAAAAAGTATTAAAAATTCAGTCACAGATCTCCATAACATTTGCAATGATAACTTTCAGCTATTCCTTATTATCCCCAGATAACTAATATTTAATGACATTTTTGTTCCAGTCTATTTTCCAAGTATATTTTGGAAAATTATATTTTTAATATATATATATTATTTTTATTTGACCATTAAAATAATGGGTCATTTCATAGTTCCAGACTACAAAAATCGTTAACAACTGCTTTTTGCAATAAAGAGATATTCTGCGCATTTTTGCACTTTTTATGAAGCCAACAAGAATGGGCTCAGTTGAAAGATTTTTACTTTTTATTTTTTGTATATGTTTTTCTACAAAGGCGCACACATAAATTTGTTTATCCCACTGAATGGCTTCCTGATGTTTTTCAAACCCTTGCTTTGTGTTCCTATTACCTAGGGTTAGAGTAAGGGCAAAATCAACTTCAGTTTGCCAAATATCCCAATCAACATGTTTTTCACTTAAGTTTCACCCCTCCACTGTCAGCCCTTCAAGGAACCCAGACAAGAAACCCAAATTTTTGTTGTAAAGTTACCATTAACAGAATCTTGCAGGTCTAAAGCATTTCTACCCTCCCTTGCTTTTACTTTCCAGAAAACTGGGGAAGGTCTCTTCTGAGATGCTTTCTCCACCCTCATACCTTCTGGAGGTTGAGATATCTCTTGTCAGATGATTGCTAGGCTGTGGCTCTTTCTCCCAAAGTTATTCTCACAGTCCATGTACTCCTCAGGAAAGCTAGCTATCAAGGAAACCAGTGATTCAAACTGTTGGCAATTTCAGAGAGCTGTTTTCTTAGTCTTTGCTGAGGACTAAGTGAAACAGGTCAATCCTGGATCTGCTGAATCCTGAGTTTCACAGAACTCAGTAGTTTCCCCTCCCTGGAGTGCACTGAATGAATTTGAGTGATGGGACTATATGACTGTAAATGGTATGGATGTTTTTGAGAAAGAATGAATCCAGGTGTTTGTTCGAGGGAGGGAAGAGATCAAAATTATTTGGCAATGCTGATCTCTCACTAGGAAACCACCTGCTCTTTATACAGACAATTTAAAGGGGGGGGGAGGATAAAATTTAGGGGTGTCCCCTCACTTCTCCAGATATCGGCCTTTGCAGGCATACCATTTTTATTTGCTTCCCCATAATTAATGTGGCCTTGAAGTAAAAAGAAAAACAATATTTTTCATTCCTGGTTTAGAGGATCTGGATTTCTTGCGTTTGTGTCAATATTATTTAGCAGTGACTTAGTTTAAACAATCATTGGGAGTGTCTTTTAAATATTTCTGGTCAATGTATTAGGTGTGATTTATCTATGTTTATTCTAAGATTAACACATATTTTGGTAGATACCTGTTTTCTTTCTACAAAGACTGATCTCTGTGCATATCTGTGCATATGTACATGTGGTCATTCATAGCTTCATTTGAAACACAGGCATACTTATTGATCAGCTGAACCAATGGGATGTCTCTTAAACCAGAACTCATATTCATATTATGCTTTATATACATAATGAAAGAAGTTTGCAGACATTGTTCCATAAGTTCAGTAACCTGTGAAATAAATCGGAGAAGCATGTCTAAGAGCACTCAGTAAACTCATGGCTGATGTGAGATTTGAAACTGGAGCTTCAAGAATGCATTCTTTCCATGTGACTTACATATATGGAGACAACCAGGCAGTATTTCTTGTACTTAAAACAAACAAACAAATACCTCTATCAGGAAGACGCCTAAATGATTAACTGATCAAAGAGATGTTTGAAGAGTCAGTTCTAGGTGTCATGGTTTTAAAATGTGTTCACTCAAAATAAATTTGCAATGGCTATAATCCAGGACAAAGTGACCCAGCTTCCAATTGGTCACAGTAATTCTGAGAAACAGAGATGTCCTTGTGCATAGCTGTGGCTGACTTGGTAGTATTGTTCTTGAAATAATTATGAGAGAGACAGTCACTTCCACCATAAACATGACCATGGATGTCTCATATAAACAGTTTCCCCACAACAACTGCTAAAGGCAGCATCCTTTCAAACAGAGGTATGCTAATTCATAAACATTTCCCAAAGTGTTACTATTTATGTACGTATACCTTTGACTTAGTTTGTCTGTTTATATAGGTATACCTTTGGCTTAGTTTGTCTCTGATGGCATAATCTAATTATTTAACCCACAATCTGCAATTTGAGACTGACTTTGAACTAAACACTTCCTGAGTGAACCCATTGTCCTAATTTTTGGACAGGCTTAATCTTTGCCAATCCCAGTTTTTATAACCTCTTTTTTTGATTAAGCATTCTGAAAAACTCAAACACTTATATACAGTTTGTAAAGTTGTAGACAGTTGTAGATTTTAGATTATTCTTTCATAGAGCAACTCTTCTTTTTATGAATATGACAGAATGAAACAATGTCATTGTGTAATATGATCTGCCAGACATACAGCATATGCTGTACTGTACTGTATGGCTGAGAAGCATGGAAAATAACTGGGGTAAAATAGATAAAAGCTTTCACACAGACAGGGACTCTCTCACCCTGAAGGAAATTAAAATGGGCTAAGGAACTGGTAGCAGAGTTGAAGAGATGGAGAAGATGGCTGGTAAACTAAGTGGGATTTAGATAGTTTGAGCTTTTGCAGTTCTGGGATAGATGAATCTATTGCATGATTCTAAGTGAATAAAGGTCACAAAGATGGCAGATTATCTGGAGGAGAAAGGAGAAATGGATCCAAAGAAAATATTAGCATTCTGCTAGCCATGCAAGATTGTCAGCTAAGTTTATCTGAAGCCCTTGATTAACTCCAAAGGGATCCTGGTTATAACTACACAAGAGACAATAATATCAACACACTGAAATCAGAAGAAGTACTACTTTGCAGGAAAGTAAATAGACAATAACTGAATGGCAAAGCAGTTACAATTATTTCCTGCTTTTATTATCTCCCAACCAAGTCAGCAGAGGAATCCAGAGTTATTTATTTGTTTTGGCTGCATAATGCTTACAGAGCTATCTAAATGCAAGTGTCAAAGTCTCAGAGAAACAACTCTTTAAATCTTACATTGTTACAAATAAAGAAAAAAAATGTAAATTGGTCCTTAAGATGGTTTTTGTTTGATGTGATCTCGTCTATATGTAACTCAATCAGATGCTGAACATGTTATATATGACTAGTGTTCTCCATTCTGATGCCTTCAGATATGTAAAAATTTTAATTTCATGCATAGCTAATCAGCACAGAATCCTATATATTTACGAGGGCAATTCAGAAATAAACATCTTTGGTTATCAGTGACAGACACTTGCAGATACAGAACTTTTGTTATACACATTAGAAAACTACAACATTATATTACTTTTTGACATAATCGCCATTCAAATTGAGGCACTTGTCATAATGTCTTACACGGTTTGAAATTCCTTAGCAGTAGTTGCTCAGTGCCAAATTTGGGCTATTGGGGGTGGGTGATCAAAAACATCCCAATGGAACTGCTTCAAAAGTTCTTGAGTGCATCTAGTGGTGTGCAGGCGAGCATTGTCGTGAAGCAACACCCCACTGGAAGTCAGCATGCCCCGACACTTGTTATGGATGGCTCATCTGAGTTTTCATAACTTTTCACAGTATACTTCTGAATTGATGGCCAATCCATGTTCCATGAACTTCACTAACAGTACTCCTTTGGCATCTTCAGATTTGGCGGGATTTTCTATGGCACCACTTCCGGTGTGGTGTTAGTTCACGATAATGCTAAGGAATTTCAAACCTTGTAAGACGTTATGACAAGTGCCTTAATTTGAATGGCGATTATGTCGAAAAGTAATGTAATGTTGTAGTTTTCTACATGTGTATAATAAAAGTTCTGTATCTGCGAGTGTCTGTCATTGATAACCAAATGGGGATTTATTTCTGAATTGCCCTCGTAGAAATGTCAGGTTGTAGAAGGGGGTTAATCTGATCTTCTCATTTACCCTTACCCATGGCCAGTGAAGAGTTTATACATTAAACAGTTGTGCAAATCTGGTTTTTGAAAAATATAAACGGACTGAAAGTAAAGCGAGAGGTATAATTCTATTCCAGCTCATCAAACTTTTGTTACATACATATTCTGAACCTGTATGAAAAACCAGTATGATATTTAAGCCTAAGGCATTTATTAATGCTATAACATTAAACTACCAGTTTCTTATTATTTACATTGGTCCTCTAGTTTTTTTTCTATTCAATGCTGCTAGTTGTTTGTAATTTCCTCCTGGTTGTTTTAGAAAATATGGAGATGGAAGTTTATGTAGACCTCCTTGAGCTCCTGGAGAAAAGAAGAAGATAAATTTAATAAATAATAAAATTATTATTATTTGACTCCTTGTAGTTTTATTTATGAAAGCAGGCAAGTATTGTTCAACCTGGGAATACAGGTTTCAAAAGTCGTTTCAAAAGTAGCATGACACTGAAATTTTCTTGTGACAGAAGGGGGGGGGGAATCATGCCTATTGGTAGCGACTGTATAAATTTCATTTGATTTCATTTTAGTTCAAATTTAGATTTGGCCCTGGCAACATTCACTTGTCTGTATTGGCTCAACCTCTAAAATCACCTAAACCAATAAATGCATTCATTTAAATTACATACTTGAGGCAAATGTACAAATTTGCTTCTGCTTGCTTGTTTGGATAAACCTGTTCTATACATGTTTGTGTTTTTCCTTTATCCTCCATACCTCAAGCTACACAAGTGCTGACTCATTCATTTCAGAATATAGATATGTTTATAGTCCATATGATTTCAGTGCCCTGAAATCTACATCAGTGTGTTCATCATGCCATGAATCATTAAGCCGCTATGTCCCAACAAGGCAGTCCTCTGGTGGAAATGATCCTATAATGGCCAAAGAATGAGCATACCTCAGCTGTGGATAGCCAACATTTTTATGGTCATGAATGGAAGTTGATAGTGCTAGCATCTATGCCTGTTTAATTATACAAGCTGTTTTTGAAACTGAGTCTCTTTCCTTTGCTAGAAAGTCACCAAATACTGACAAAACTCTTGGTTGTAAAAAAGAGAAAAAGTACTGCTTTACTTCTCCCTGGTTGCCAAGGTACTGCCAAATAACTGAAGATCTAAAGCATAGATCCAGAAAGCAAAAGATATTAAAATACACACAAGAAAATATCTAAGTATTTTCAAATTTACAGTGTTTGAATGCATTTAGTTTTCACCTAAATAAATAAAAAGACTACCTCTGAATTTGCAGAAAACACCTTTTATTTTTGTTCCTAAGCAGTTACAATCGTATCTTCCTTCCAAAGATGGTAGAACTTCCAAACAGATGATGTGTCAGCATTCCGCTGTTACCGATTAAGCACTGACTCATTTTTGTCAAATAAAATATATTCATAATACATAAAAATAAGGGTTCCCTAGACATAACATTCTCATTTGACTTTCCTTCTTTCTGCAATGCTTCATAAATAGACTCTTTCTCTGTTCTCTATTTTTATCTTAATTAATTTAACTTGATTTCATTGGAAACTCTTTCATTAGTAACTCTATAATATTAAGCGTAAATATCTGGAAAGTATCACTGAGTACCAGCAAAGCATTTTCACCCATATCACATACAATACTGCAAATAGCTGCCTTTGCTTCCTTACCCACAAAATCAATCACTAATACCAGCAATTTGTTTTGAAGATAAAATCAAAGGGACAAAAAAGAACATGACCTAGTACACAAAACTAGACACAAACTCATGCCAGCTAGACATATAAAATGGGGTGAGCAACTGATTGCAAATAATGCTTTCAGCTGAAGGTTTACTTAATAATTATAGAAGGTAGAGAGTTTGTGGGGATGCTAGTACTTTTTTTCCTTTTAAACTTTAAAAAAGTCCTTGCTTTTAAAAATGTAAAAACTTTCTACTCAAAGTTATCAGAGTCATGGCTCTAAAAAGGCCCAATTCTGCAGCATTCTGGGAGAAGCAATACCCATTATGTTGCCAAAATGATTTTATGGAGCTTCTGGAGAAGAAACATTGAAGTTGGAGAGAGTAAATTCAGATGCCATGCAAAATATCATTATTTCATGTGAAACTCTGCCCCATGATAAACAATATTTTGCTCTAAACAAATATATATCACTATGCATTCCTTTCAATATATATCCTCATGTGCATCTTTTTCTCTCAAGGAATGCACTGAGCAAGAACCAGTAATCCAATAGACACATACAAGCAGATCATGGTCTATTGACTATGGTACTGGTGTCCAAACTGGGTGTGTTCACATGACATATTTATCCAAGGCAAGTTGGGTACAATTTATTTAATAAACTCAGTATTCAGAATTTGCACAGCACCCTGAACCATAAACTAACTGTTGGATTGGATAGACACTCAGAATATTCTAGGGTAAAATGTGGTGGGCTCGTTTAAGTTTTAATATGGTGTTATCTGGCTTCCTGCCATTAGCAGCAAGAATCCAATCCCCCAAGTTAATTGGGGTAACTGATCAGATAGGGTAATTGTTTTATATTTTTCACAAGACAGAAAGATAAAGGAGAAACAAATAAGATGGGAGAGTTGTTTTATAAAGACAGAAGGAAAGGATTCATCCCAGCTCAGAACTGGTATGTGCATTATTGTTAGTTGCAAAGTCGTGTCCGACCCATCACAACCCCATGGACAACGTTCCTCTGGGCCTTCCTGTCCTCTACTATCTACCTCTACCATCTTCTGGAGTCCATGCTAGGTGGGAATTCTGGGAACTAAACTCCAATAGACCTGGAGCATATCAAGTGATGGAAAACTGCACACTCTTTGCCAAATTTGTCTCTTGTCCTGAAAGAGAGCTTTAATGCAACCTTTATGCAAGTTTGCAACTGCAGGCAGAATGATGAGATTTTGCCCAAACTTTCTAATACAAAGTTGCTTGGTCTATCTTGGTTCTCATCACTGCAAAATGATGGTTAAGGCACCAGGCTATAAACTGGGAGTCCTAAGTTTTAGTCCTGCCTAAAACATGAAAGATGGCCAGGTGATTTTGGGCCAGTCATTCTCTCTTTTTTTAAAAAAGTAGCTCCACAGAACTGAACCATTGGCTTTTTAAATTGCCCCTGCCTATTTGTTCTGTAATATAAGTCAGAATTATTTTGACCCTCGTGTTACAGATGATTGACTGATAGATTTATATAGTGATTAAAGTGATTTGTATCATTCCCCCCCCCAAATTGCAATTCTGGGGATCTATTTTTTAATGAATTTTTATTACATTTTTACAAAGAACATGAAAAGTAGCACAAACTAATAGAGTAAAAGCAGTAAAGAAAAAAAAGGGGGGGGGAGCAAAAGTGCAGAAAGAAAGAATAAAAGGAATTGCAGTAGAAAGAAGCAGCTTCCAATTTCCGTTGCAGCACATATCAATACAACTACAAAATTATCTCTCCGTCTACGAGTATAAGGGATTCTGGACAACTATTGTAGGATTAAAACCCATTGAGAATCAGGCAAAATTAAACAATGAATAACATGAAGAAAACCAGTCCAGGGAACTGGCTGATGATGCCACCTGAACAGCAGGCTCTTCTGTGCACATGGCCCATTTCCTTACTTGTTTGTACTCCTGAGCATTCCTTCTCTGCCTGGAAGCCTGTGTCACCTTCCTCTACCTCATGTTGCTGTTCTGCCAGCTGGTTATAGGCTGCCTTCTCCTCCTCTGCGCTCAGAGCATGAGGCTGTGAGCTCAGTCACTAGGTCCCTCCCAGGAGGTACAGCCGTACAAGCTGGGAGGAGTCCCAACAGCCGAACTTCAGGCTTCTTTCTAGCTATTCTCAGAGTGTGAGCCTGGCTCACAGCATCCAGGCTGCAGGCTCCCTCCTTCGCACAACTTGGTGAGTTGGCACGTTTTCCCAGTTTGTTTCTGCCCTCGCTTCTTGCTAATCAGAGATTTAAATCTTGCTTTCTGTTGGGTCACCTGAGGCAGTGCCCGTGCTTCTTTTCATTGACTTGATTGATTCTTTTTATTCATTGACTGATTTTGTCCTGAAGTCATTTCATACTGTAAAATACATTTTCTGCTGAGGAGAGAAGCATGAGGAAGAATTTATGCTTTGAAGCTCCACAGCACCTGAAATTATAGGTGAACCACAGGATTTAACTTTTAAATTATAGGATTTAACTTTTACATCCACTGTTATATTGGTTGCATACAATGTTGACATCATGCCTGAAACTTCACAATTCAGATATTGTGTGTGTGTATACATGTGCACAAGTGCATGTGTAGAATTGCTATGAAGAATTTTGAAAATACACATTATACATACAAATTGGAATGTCACAAACAATTCTTAACTGTTCACACTGATATAGTAATTCTTTACAATATTATATCCACTTGTTTGTAAATATTTTTAAAAAGATGAGATTACATTGTATGTAGAGACTGAAGCCTTATATTAAAAAGACCATATGGCATTTTTTCTTTCTTTCTTAATCCACATAGGTAGATACATATCCTTTTAAATACCATTTGATGTAAAGATCCACAACTGCTCTTAATGTGCATATTGCATATTATTTGGGGAAAGGGGGGGCAGAAATAAGATTTTTGTGGCATGCCTCCTCTCAGTGGAAAGCTGATCACTTTTCCCAAAATGTTAGCATATCCAATACATCTGTTAACATTCAAGGAAGATGGAGTAATTTGACACTAATCAGTTGTAATTATATAGACCTAAGAGTGATTGTATGGGCAGCCTGCAAACTTACATGTGCTCATGCATACTGTAGAATAGATATTAGGTGCTTCTGTCTTCCTCAAAGTCTTGTTCTCCACATATGCTTACTATTCCTCCCGCCCCAAGTTTCGCAGGCAAAGGCCATACTAAGCCAAACATTTAGGGAGTTATAATCCCAATACATTTGGGACGTGCTAAATTGAGGAAGGCTATTCTAAGCTGATATCTCTTGTTATTCTCCTGCAACTTCACACAAAAAGCTTCCCCAGAAAAATAACCCCAGCCTAATCAATTTAACACACTTGTGCTCATGAGCCCACATATGCGCGCGTGCACGCGCGCGCGCACACACACACACACACACACACACACACACAGAGTACAAAAAATAACCAAGAACTACAACTGAAAAGCAATCAGGTATACATATGGCATGCAGATCTGAGCAATTTTTTTAGAAACTGAAACCAATGACAGAATCAGTTGCAGGTCTGAATCCAACCCAATTATTTACACTAACAAAAGAACATTTTTTAACGAACAAATATCATTCAGCACAAACAAGAACTACTGTGGCCTTCCAGATTTCACTTAACTACAGCTCCCAGCAGATTACATTGATTTTGGCTAAGTCTGCTATATTACATACAGTCCTTCAGGCTGCTTTTGGATGGTTTAGAATAAAAGGGAATATTTTTTTTAACATTGGGATAGTTTAGGATATCTTAAAGCAGTGGTTCCCAACCCTTTCTACACCCCGCACCCCTTGAACGCTTCTGATATATTCTCGCACCCCTTACAAAAGTTCAAAATAACGGCAATGAATTATGCATATACACTATAATTTTGAAAACCCAAGTTTTTGCACCCCCTGGAATATCGTGTTTGTGCCATGATTAGGTGAGATAGAGGCATGGCCAAATATTTGGACATCTGATCTAGAAGTAGGATATATTTGTTTTGTATTAGCACTATAATTTTCTAGAAAAGATTGGGCAGGCGCAGAGGAAATTTCCATTAAACATGTCCTGAAAAATTAAAGAATAATAGTCACATGAAAATAAACAAAAAATTCTGAAATCTATTTTTTGCAGTAAAAAGTAATTCTTAATCACTATCTCATCCTACAATTCCAGGATATCATAAACAAAAACAAAGAAAACCCAAAATGTGCCACAAATGTAATATAAAACAATAAAAAATGGCAGTGTAGACTCAGAAGACTATACTAAGCATGAGAAAAAGACATAAAATTATGCAGCACCCGTATGCTTCATAAGGTATTAGGTAGCTTTGTATTCATAAGAGGAGCCTCTCCACTTATACAGATGGGGCAACTGCAATATCCCACCTGTATCACCAAACATAATCATCATCTTCATCTGAAACAAAAAGTCCCAGAAATTCCATGTTTCTGAAACACTGTGGGTCAGTTTTTGTGGTTCTTACTTGTTGTTAGTATGTTAATGCAGTAGTCACCAAATTTCTGAATGTTTTAGACACACTACATTTTGGGGAAATTAAGCACACTTGGAAGCCTGGATTATCAGCAGAGGCCTGGAAATAGGTGCACAATCATATCAGACCTGACCAGATACTCTGCATGACTCCATGGTCTCCAACTGCATAAAGAACTATCCCTACAGCTCTATTCAGAAATTAATTATATGGGTATTGAGAATGAAGGGTGGAGCCAGCAGAGCAATCCACTGTTCATTTTCCCCACTAGAACTCCTAATCCACATTAAAATTATCTGCCTACAGCACACATTATCTGCCTATTGAATGAAGTCATTTCATTCTCATGCTTCTAATTTTCATACCTGAGAAGTTAATTCATAAAAAGGAAATGGTGTTAATCTTTCATATCTCTTCCTACAAGAGTCTTGCTTTGAATTTAAAACCAAATCCAATCATCAGTTATTCAGTGTTACAAAATGGGTATCATGTAGCTTAACTAAAATTTAGGAAATGCCTAAACAACCAGGGAAGATAGCAATCTCTCTATTATTGGTTTCCCTTTTTTTATCTAACACATAATGAAGCCGAATAATTTTAGCGTACCAATATTGATGAGGGAAATGCTTATCATATTCTTATGAAAAGTATGAGTTAGAAGGTAATAACAGTAGCAATAGCACTTATATACCGCTTCATAGTTCTTTACAGTCCTCTCTGAGCAGTTTACAGAGTCACCGTATTGCCCCCAACAATATGAGTCCTCATTTTAGCCACCTCAGAAGAATGGAAGGCTGAGTAAACCTTGAGCAGATGAGAATCGAACTGCTGGCAGTCAGTAGAATTAGTGTGCAGTACTGCATTCTAACCACTGTGCCACCATGGCACATAAATTATAATTATAATAACCACTAAAGTACAGTAGATACTGAGAAGCAAGGCAATATATGTCATTGGATTTATTTTGTCTCTATTGTTAAGCATATTATCAAATGTTTCATTATTTTTTTTACATGAAATATCTTTCGGTACAAATAATGACAATATTGGGAGGTGGATGTTTGGCCCATGGTTCATAAGATTCATTCAGATGAAATAAAGATCTGAAGCTACACAGTTCAAGAACCAATCCCAAATTTTTAAAGTGTATTATACTTATATCATTTTTATAAAAGAAAGTCAGTCTGAAGACAGTATTAAATATATACTATAATTTTCATGCATTCTTTTTAACTATCTTTTTTCAAACTTCTCTAGATCTTGTAGAAACAGCTGCATCCTTCATGACACAATGGCAATGCTGTCCAACAACACAGACTTAACCTTGTTCCTCTCAAAATTGCTAGAAGACTACATAGAGAAGAAAAACCACCCCACGCCTGCACCCTTCATTGATTCTAGTGACCATCTGGAAGTAGTGTTTATACTTCTCCTGCTTGGATTTTTTGGATTCATCACCTTTGGGGTCATGATCAGCTATATACGCTCCAAAAAGCTGGAACATTCCAATGACCCTTACAATATCTACATTGCCACTGATCTCTGGCAGAAAAGGGACAAAGTCTACTTGCAGGCCAAAGTAGTAGAAAATTATAAATCATGTTGTATATGGGAAAATGAGCATGCTGTCGAACAACCTACTAATCATATCCCTGAAGTGAAATCTTAATAACAAGATAGTCAGCCTATTTTAGAGACATTGTGCTGTCCCTTCAAAAGTACTAAAGAAACAACAGTTGGACAAACTTTTCAAAAGCAAAGAGATAAAATCTACAACTTCTGTTATTGCCTCCCTTGAATTGGTGCCACACTAATGTGTTGGATGACATCTTCCAGCAATTCCTGACCAATATGTGCTTACTGTGTAGTAGAAGTAATTGTTATCTGAAGAGTAATTGTTATCTGAAGGCACCATGTTGGGAAAGGCAGCTGTTCTAACCTAAACAGTAAAAAAATGGAGGTATTTGTAGGCTATGATCTACCCCAGTATAGTTTTTCCACTTCAAAAATCTGGTTGTACTATGAATAGATCCTTGTTCTAAACTTCATTCTTTTTTTACAAAACAACAAGCATAAAAATGTTGCTTCAGTTTCACATTTTGCAGATATCTCTATCTCACCAACAGAAAACATGAAGTTGATTCATAAGAGATGGAGGAAGAGTAATACAGTTTTAAGTATAAGTCACATAATTTCTTTGTGTATAATATAGATCATCCAAATGGATATGGCTGGGGACAGATTTGTTTAAATTTAGGAAATATTTTTTTAATTTAGGATTTAAAAAACAATTTAGGAAATAATCAGAATCAGCCATTATCAACTGTTCAGTTTCACAAAATATGAATTTACAGGGAGAAATATAGAGAGGAGAGAGGGAGAAAGAGCTATACTTAAACTTAGCTACATGATATAGCTAAAAGCACTTCCAACACCAATGTTGGACACCATTTGGTGATCATTTCTGGCCCTCATTGATCTCATGATATTTGTTGGCGATTAATTCTGACTTTTGTCCTTTAATCTCAGTGGTTTACAAATCTTGTAGATGATCTGCTTTGCCACTGAGAGGATCTCTTGCTTCAATCTGGTCCATAGGCCCCATTTAAGCCAGTCCTTGCTCTCCCTTCCCCCAAGGTTCACATCCAATTCCTGGAGCTTCTCTTTCTCTCTATGCATTGCTTGGAATCTATTCCTTTTCTTACAATCCAAACAGGAAAGCAACATAAATATGCATAGCCGCTTAGAGTCACCCACTAAGTGAATTTAATAAATAAATAAATAAATATGATTTTATATATGATAAACATTTCACCGATAGATTTCTTATGAAATCAGTAGAGTGCAATTTTCCAAAAATCACTGTGCATCTTTCTTCAAACCTATTAGTTACTGATCAACCGTTTTTTAAATGACAATTCACTGATTCTTGTTTTAATTTGTATGATTTTGCCAATTTTCCTTGAATAAGTGATTTCTATTGAAGGAGTTTGTAATGTCTGGTTATTATATAACTTCTGTAGTATTTCAAACAAATGTTATTTTACTGTGGTTTTATATAATATCCTCTATTGAGGAACAATTGACTGGGAATGGTAAATAATGATATTGGAATATATCATTAAGGCTGCCAAGTGACCAGAAAAATGGGCTAGTTAGTTCTTAAGTCTTGATTTTAGAAATCAGCAAGTAATTAGTATCGATATAAATGCTTTCAAATAATTGCAACGTCAATTTCAACTTCAATCTTTTTATGTACATAAGTGATTGTAATTAGTCTATACATTTGTAATTTTTCCTCACAAAATGTAATAAAAATGCTAATCTCACACATGTTGCATATTGCCCAGTATATATATATATATAGCCAATTCATGACAAAGTTACTTTGGTTCTATCATCTTCCCAGAAATAATCTTCCTCTTGCTACTTCTTTGAATTTCACCAAGGTTCTCTTGGTATAGCAGCTTATCGCCATCAGAATAAAGTTTCAGAAAAATCTATTTTGTGTCCTCCGTTTTCTAACTGCTAGAATAAATGAGTGTTCGATATTTCATCCACTTAAAACAGTTCTCAATACTTCAGCCACCTATCAGTCCTTTTTGGTATGAGAAGGGAGGGGAAAGCTAGCTGATCATTACCCAGAGAATTTTGGGGCTGAATCTGGATCTTGTCTCATCTCCAAACCCAGGTCCCCAACTTGGTGCCCCTCAGTTCTGTTGCCTACAGCTCCCGTATCTATTTCAGCTGGGGGAAATGAGATTGTAGTCCTATACGTTTAGGAATATTCTAGGTCATGCATCAAATGATAAAAAAGTGTTTATAAGGAAATAGCAGCCAATTCAAAAAATTAATGGAATTAATATAACAAATTGTCAATGGAACCTGACTTTTGTTACATCCTGTATTATACAGAGCCTTGTTTTCATCATCCATTCAAAACAATCACATTTATAGAACTGTAGTTTGTCAAATGAATGAAGTAATGCATTGGTGTGCTTGCTTCTTTATCAATTCATAAAATTGACTTGGTAAAACACAGGATAACAAGTGTTTTATTTTAAAGAGAATTCTAACATAACTTTATTAATATTAATCACATTTTGTGTTCACTTAAGTCCCTCAAGACCTGGATATGCTACTAAGCCTGGGGGTCCAGAGACTGGGGAGATTTTGCAGTGGCTCCCTTACTGTAGTTAATATCTTCGTTTCTTCTTTTGTGTACCTTTTAATAGTTTTAAGTGTGCTTTTTAAAAATGTATTTATTTATTTTAGTTAAGTGTTGCACTCTGCCCAGAATCAATCCCTTTCAGATGGGCAGCTACTGTATATAAATATGATAAACAAACAAACAAATAATATATAATCTGGAAAAGTGAGATATTTTCCAAAGTAAGTATCATGTTTAAGCATGACTCAAAATATATATTAGAAACAATTTAATTTCTACATTTTATATTTCCCAATGAAATTACTCACTGGTTTTTTTTTTTTTTCATGCCGCAAAAGCCATCCATCCTGTTTGTAAAAATTGTAAAATTGCTACGTTTACCACATTTAAACTGAAGTTCTTGCTTAAACCCTTAAACCTAATAAGGGAACCTGGACACTGAGTCATTGATGAGAAGTTCCATTAACATTTCTTTCATGTTTTATGGAACCAGAGGAAAGACTAGAGCCTAAATATTATGCTTAACCATATTCTTGTTTGAAATAATACTAATTATGAAATCTTTTTGTACTGAGTGCTTTCTCTTTGGTTAATTCATTCTGTCACTATCTGCATTTAAAAAAGTAATATTCTCACCAACGTTTATTTTTTTTAATTCCTAATGCAGATTTTAAGAAACCTAAGGTCTTAATATCATACCATGATATCCAAGTACTCACACATTGGTCAATTATAACAATATACGCTTTCAAGAGATTTTAATTTTTTTGTAACAGCATATGCCCAGAATGTAAGAAAATCATGAAAGACATCAGGATTCATTTCTTCAAATTTGCAAAATAAAAAATGGGTTTCATTTTGTGTGAGCACCATCTGCTGGTGGTATTGTGTGAAAAGGCAACTGCCGAATGTAACATCATCATTATCATCCAAGCTGCTGGTAACAGATGTTTATTTATCCGTTCACTTATTTCAATGTATATGGTTGCCCGTTAATAACTCTGGGCAGTTGATTTAAAGCTAAATTTTGGAAAAACAATAACAATAATTATACATGTACATATAGTAGCAGCTGAGGTCAACAACAATCACTACAAATAACATCCATCTTATGGGCTTCATTGACCTCCCAATCCCCAAACCCAGGAAAATAGCCAAAGTCTTTCTCAAATGCTGGCTTGCTGAATTTTGGGATTATAATGTTCCAGAAAAACAGGCACTGCAACAGAAAAGGCCTGCTTTTTAAATCCCATCAAGTAACATTCCTTGATAAACAAGAATTGAACCGATACATAGGTGGGGAGCTGAATTTCTTTCTAATATAGGAGTCATAACTAGATAAACCTTTCCCACAGACATGTTTGAGTAGTCATTATATGCATGTTGACATTAGTAAACACTGAAAATATCACCTATGAAAAAGCCATGTGCAATGTACAGCTTGGAAAAAGTTATATTTTTCTTTGAGTTGTAACTGAAAGGGATTAACCAGAATTTTAATTCTTACGTAGAAAAGTTAGGTTACATATCAATCAGGAAACTAAATTGGGACTTTCTTGTATTTCCAGAAAATTTCTGACTTGATCTAGTTATAATAAAGTCTGTTACGCAATTGATTACTTAACATAATCACATTATCCATATTACAAAGTACATGCTAGGACCTTCTTTTGGGGAGGACGAGATCTCAGCAGGCCTTCTTAAAATACCATGGTCAGAGGTCTTTGCTATATAGTGTGTGCTGGACTATCCTATAGTACTAAAATCAATGGACTTGTGCTCCTGATGGATTTCACCACTTTCATCCCTTCGTGAAGGAAAGAACAAACAAGCCACAGATGGCTGCAGTGAAGAGCAGAAGCACTGAAAACTTATAGCATTTTAGATATTTGTCCTTTTGCAGGTATATGTTAAACATTTATGGAGGCAAACAATATACATTTAGCAGACTAACATCTTTAGAAATATGTACCCCAAAGTGCTTTGCCTCTATCCTTGCCAAAAACTCTAGGTTTATCATGCAGCCACAGCCATACATATATTAGTGTATCTGATGCTTCACAGAACACATGACGGTTCCAGTCTCAGAGCTAAAGATGATGGAATAGAAGTGAAGATGAGGTTAATTGGATAGAACAAAATGGAATTGTTTCATGCAGCCAATTAGATCTAGTTCTCCTGGGAGTATATATCCACATCTAGATGGGCTCTCCCTGGTATCATGGCTGAATGGAGCCAGCATTTCTTCCTGTTGCATAAATGTATTATAATACCATCCATGCTGCTGCACCATCCTGTAGGATGTCATCAGCCCTGCCCTTCCTCCCCCATTCTTATTAATCTTACAGATTCTCTGCATCTTTCCCACTTAGTCAACAGAATGCAACTGAGCTCATACATGTGGAACCTTGTCTAAATCAATTCTTTCTCTTTACCTGGGTGGAAAGGGTGCTATCACTGAAGTTCTTGTGGCCTCTCCCACTGAAAACACTCCCCAGCCATTTCCTAACAATCCGCTCACATTGAGGAAGCATTTGGTAATTATTTTGAATTACTGAAATGAAATTTACCTGCCAAAAGAAATGGCCAGCATGCCAAAAACTGAAAAAGAAGTGCCTTCAGAGAAGGATATTATTCTATTTCTGAAACTTACCTTCAGTGAACTATTAGGTTACCTGCTAATTCTTAGCCCCTTTTTCTACAATCAGGGTGTATCAGTTTTCAATAAAAGAAATAATCTTGCTTTCCTCTAATATGAGGCAGAAAGATTATGACTACAACACAGAATTATTGATGTTCATAGAGGTGAATAAACAGGACAAATTTCCATCTTTTTAAAAAACTGATTAAGAATAATTATTCTTAAGAGCAAAAATAATTACCATTCTGAACGACTGTTGTAACTTGGGGATAGAAATGAACTTATCTGGGATCTATTGGAGGATAACATTTTTACATTCCATTAAAACAGCTGCCATTACAGAGAAGGGAAACAAACAGTGGGTCTCATGAAAAAATAGTCCTTGGAACTTTCTGAATTTAGAACAGATTTAAAAAAATATTTTTTCTTGAAAATATTTCGTGTGGCTTCTTCTGAAGGCAAGCTGATATCTGAAAAAGGAGCAAGCTAATCTGGAGTTTCTGAGAAATTCAGCATAGCCTTCTTGGGAGAATACAGTATATCACCAATACAGAGTATTACTTCTGAAAGTCCATTCTCCCTGATCAGATAGTATAATGTATAAATATACAGGCAAGGTAAATCACATAAATTGCTTTTATTTGTATTTGCAGTTATGTTCAAACTTCAGGTAAAAAATTGAGACAATAATTGAAAAAAGAAACTTAGGGAAGGTTTGTGTTATGGCAAAGAAGCCAGGAACTTATGTTAATAAATCCAGATCTTGCAACAAGTAGGATCGGTCAGGTATTCTTCTATAATCACCTATTTCCTTGTCTGGAATTTTCATCCAGTGTTTTAATATTTTAAACAATAAATACTATTCTTTTGTTTCATAATCTTTGTATTTTTTTCTGTACCCAACTTCTCAGTGCAACATTGTGTAATACTTTATTTTCTTTATGTACTATGTTTCTTGAGTTTCTCAAGTCATTCCATTATATAAAAAAAAACATTGGAAGACATTAAATTTATTTTTGTAGTCTCTCTCTGTCTGTCTCTGTCTCTCTCTCTCTTGCAGTTTTGGCTTTGTTTTCTTTCCTTTTTTACCTTAATTATTAATTTCTGTTAGTTTTTAGTATCTTTTTAGTATAAACAAATTAGTAAGGTTATCTTTTTTTTTTTTTTTTTTTTTTTTTTTTTTATTAAAAGTTTTATAAATTTTACAAAAAAAAACAAGAACAATACAGAACAAAAAACAACATATACAAAAGAAAAAAAAATTAAACAATACATATAAAAAAAACCCCCCACCCCACACCCCTCCCAAAAACCCTCCCTTCCCCCCCCCTGAGCTTCCCAGAGCAGAATATAGGCTTAAGAAATAATAATAAAAAAAAAAAAAAAATAAAAATAAAAATAAAAATTAAATTAAAAACTTTATATTTATATATATAAAAAAGATATCTATAATATATATAAAAATAAAACTTATGAAAAAGCTATATAATATTTTTGTATACCCAATCTAAATTGTATAAATTTTATCCATTTGTCCCAGATAGCAAAAAACTTCTCTTGCGTTTGTTGCTTTAAGAAAGCCGAAATCTTTGCCATTTCTGCCAGATAAGCTACTTTAAAAAACCATTCCTGCAATGTAGGCAAAGATTCCTTCTTCCAATATTGTCCAATTAACAGCCTCGCGGCTGTGATCAAGTTTAACATCAATACAACCTCCTTTGTATCACAATCTGTAACAATACCTAACAAAAATAATTGCGGAGTAAATTTTACCCTCCTTCTAAAAATTCTCTGGATATTCCACCATATTTTGATCCAAAATGCTTTTATCTCTCTACATGACCACCAAATATGATAATAGGAAGCCTCCTTATAACCACATCTCCAACATTTAGGTTGCACGTCAGGGTACATGTAAGACATTTTTTGTGGATCAAGGTGCCATCTATAAAACATTTTATAAAAATTCTCCCTTAGATTCTGTGCTTGAGTAAATTTGACATTTCTCACCCAAATAGTTTCCCAGGTGTCCAATGAAACTGGCTCACCAAAGTTCTGCGCCCATCTAATCATACAATCTTTAATTAGTTCCGTTTCTGAGTCCAATTCAACTAAAACCCCATAAATTCTCTTAATGTGGGTTTGTCTTTGATCCCTCAGTTGCTTAATAAGATTTTCATCTTCTCTAAGAAAACCCACCTTACAATCCATCTTCCATCTATCTAGTAGTTGCCTATATTGGAACCAAGAATAAGTAAAATTTTCTTGTGCTAATTCTTCCCGTGATTTTAATTGCCAGTTTTGTCCATCCCATTTAAGTAACTGTCTGTAAGACACCATATCCATTTTAACCCCTCTTTTTATTCCTTCTATCGCATGCCAAGGTATAGCCCATAATGGTACTTTAAAATCACTTTTATAATATTTTCTCCAAATCCTAAGTAAAGAAATTCTTAAAATATGAGATTTAAAAGCCCAATCTATTTTTTATTAAATATTAAATAGGCATGCCACCCATAAAGTAAATCCCATCCCTCTAGATAAAGTATCTCAGAATTTGTCAAATTTACCCAGTCACTAATTAATGTTAAAACCACCGCATCATAATATAATTTCAAATTTGGTACCTTGAGTCCGCCCCTCTCACGGAAGTCTTGCATAATTTTGAACTTAACCCTTGGTTTTTTCCCTGCCCAAATAAATTTATTGAGACCCTTCTGCCACTCATTTAAATTAATCTCATTTTTCAAAATTGGTAACATTTGAAACAAAAAAAGAAACTTGGGTAGAATATTCATTTTTATCACTGCAATTCTTCCCATGAGGGATAATTGCAGCTTTTCCCAATTCTTCAAGTCTTTCTGTACCCCGACCCACAACCTTTCATAATTATTTTTAAATAGTTTTGCATTAGAAACAGACAGCATCACCCCAAATATTTTACCTTATTAACAATCTCAAAACCCGTCGAGTTAACCAAAATCTGCTTCTCCTGACTCGACAAATTTTTAGGTAAAATTTTAGTCTTATTTACATTAATCTTAAAACCCGAGACCAAACCATAATGGTGAATCAACTGTAATAAGTTTACTACAGAATAATCAGGTTGCGACAAAGTAACAACCAAGTCATCCGCAAAAGCTCTCAACTTATATTCTTTTTTATTAACATATATTCCTTTAATTTCCTGAGACTCTCGAATTTTAATCAATAATATTTCCAATGTTAAAACAAACAACAATGGCGATAAAGGACACCCCTGTCTAGTACCTTTCTCTATTGTGAAAACCTCCGACAAACCTCCATTAACAATAAGTTGTGCTGTTTGTTTTTGATATATTACCTTAAGGGCTTGTAATATGTTTTCACCAAAATTCATTTCTTCCATTACTCTTAGCATAAAATGCCAATTCAGTTGGTCAAATGCTTTTTCAGCATCTAAAAATATGAGCCCTGCAGGAACTTGGTTGTTCTTATCTAAGTATTCTAATAAGTTAATAATTTGTCTAACATTGTTTTTCATATATATACCTTCCTATTATAAACCCTGATTGATCTTTATGCACAAGATGATGCACCACCCTCATAAGCCTATTTACCAAAATTTTTACAAATATCTTATAATCCACGTTTAAAAGAGATATAGGCCTATAGTTTTTTGGTAAAGTAAGATCTTGATCCTCCTTTGGAATCAAAAGTAAGGTTATCTTTTAAAAAAGTTATTCCGTATGGATGCAAATGTAAATGCATCTGATAAAGTTAACTGTAGCTTATGACATAATAAGTATTTTAATCTTCCTGATGCCACAAAGCTTGCATTTTGCTATCTCTAATACATTTACTGTATATTATCTTTGACATTTTTTTCATTTTGTCAAATTTCTCCAATATCAAAAGATAAGAGGAAACCGGTTTCTTTATTAAAGTTATCTCTTATTGGGCATCTGAAAGAAACCTTTCTCTTTACACAGGTAAAATTCTTTACTTTTATTTTATTTTGCTTTTATGCTGTTTTTTTATCTCGCTCAATATTTTAAAACTTAATAAACTTACTGTAAGTTAGAATCCAGGGCTGACTCAATTATTGTGCAGAGCCTAAATTATCTTTCCAAATTACACTCCTAATCATACATCCTTAATTTTAACTATACAAATAGATAAGCATCACATCTGCTTCTGGTAATAGATTGCTCAGAGGAGAGTTGGCAAAGAAGTGTTTCCTTCAATTAAGTTAGTCAAGAGTAGAGCATAGGATTCTCACTCACCAAACCTAGGACAAGTGAAGTAAGTCGTTTCTGTTACTTATTATTTGGGTTTTGGATTGATTGCAGAGCACAGGATGGGAAAGCAATCAAATACGATTATTATATATTTCAGCATTTTGGAAATTGTTTTCACCCTTGTCTGGTACCGTTTCTCTGCCTTGAATTCAAATATAACCTTTGTTGCTTTGAATAATTGTAAATAAAATACAAAAGGTTTGTCTTAACTGTTTTTATTCAGACTTTCAGATCAGGAATTTTTATTTCATAATCAGTGATTTCAGAAATTTCTAGACTGGGAGGCTCTACTCTTACCAAGAAAAGGCACTGTTCAACTATAGGTCCAGCATGACTTTTACACTGATTTGAACATAGCTCAGCAGAGATGTATTATGATCTGCAAAGTAGTTGACATCTTCAAATTTTGAACTTTAGAGGAGACAATGAAAATACAAGGGTTAATTCATTATTCTTGGACAGATTTGGTTCAGTTTAGACCACAAGTTTATGCAGGCATGAATTATCAAGTTGGTAATGTAGTATTTTTAGTTACCTTTTAAGGCACTAATCAGGCTGATTGAAGGCCATATTTATTCCTAAAATGGCTACATCTAAAATAGATGTTAGCATGCCCTTTCCCAGCTGTCCATATATTACCTACTGTTTCCACATAACTAGTATTTTGAAAATGTTTGTATTTTGAATGTGTATCAATATTACTTTTGACATAGATAGATATATGGTATTGTCTAACTTCTGTGAAATAATAAATGAGTTTTGAAAAAACATATCGAATAAGGATTAAATGCAGATTCTGTATGATTAAACAGAAAAATCTTAACACTGCAGAATTGGTTAACATTTTTTTAACCCAAGTTTTTTTTAACAAAAGAGAAATGATGGCAGAATTCATTGTTCTTTTTCCAGTTCACCAAGTGATTCACAAACCTAATGTCTCTGGATATATTGAACAGCAGTGTAAATAAGACATTATCAGGTTTTCAGTCCTGGTCAGCAAAAAGTCCATAAAGGGTTGCCAGAATATCGTAAACATATGACTTATTTTAACCTTGATCAAATAAACCAACTTTATATCTCTTTCTTTTATTTCCTAAAATCTTAATCTTTATTTTATTCAAATATTGTTGTATGATTTGATCTCTCTTCAATTTTTCTTTGTCCCACTGCATGGGCTTCTTCAAGGCTTTAACAAATCTCTTTATAAATCCAATAATAAAGACACCATCCAAGTCATTCTCGTGGTTTATTATTTGCATTTCCGCTTTAATTTTTAAAATTTCAGCCAACTTTCTTTATATATCCAGTAAAGAGCCCTAATCTGAGTCATTCTTTTGGCCTGCCGCTTGTATTTCCCCTTTAAATACCTTTTCTATATTGAAATCCAGTTGTTTTATTCCAATATTACTGATTCCATTATTTTACATGTTATACTTTCATTAACATCCTTAGTCTATCCATAGAAACAGATATCATTACTTGTGATTATTGTTGTTAATCATTTCTAACCCCATTCTTCAAAGAGTTCTTTTAATATTTTAAAAGTTGTAGCATTTCATGACATTTTGTAAATTCCAATCTAAGACAAAACCACAGGCAAGGGTTTTTGGTTTTTTTTTGCCTGCAATCCTTAGCCCCCTTTAAATTATACAGTTCTATTCTATGTTATTAGTTTTGTTCAGAAATAAAAATAAACTCACCAGATGTCTTTTCAAATGTCATTCTGAAGATCTTTAATAGCCTTAAAATAGTTAAACAGGTACTTAGAAGGTTAGCAAATGAATTGTTGTTTAAAAGGTATTGATCCCTATGCCTCCCAGAATTCAAATCTGTGTGGGACTGCTGCCCTACAGTCTCCTTGCAAGGAGTGCCTGTTCAAAGAATATGTGGGTGATCTCCCATCCTCTCCTTGTCCAGAGAGGTTCCACTGGTTCTTCAGTCTTTGCCATGGTTATTATCTCTTTTCTCCACGGAGACCTATTTAATTTCTCATGTCTCCACTGGAAATCTTTTCCTTGTTTCTGTTTCTAAATTCAAAGCAGTAACTTAATATTATAAATCTGAACTAAGAATGGTTGGATGGTTGGTTGGTTGGATACACAATAATAGTGAAACATTCAACTAACTACATTCATTACTAACTACATTTTTGATAGACTGTGCTCATTATGGCTCTTGGAGATATCAAGAATCAAATTGGGGAACTCTGTTCTGGCGAGGTATTTTAGTAACTTAGTCCTTCATTTAATGACTTACAAAATCATCAAAACAAGTTACAATTTATAAGGACTGGCCTTGTACTGTAGCTGAGATGAATTTATTGGCAATAAATAATGCCAACTGAAATATTTAGCTAAGGATGTCACAGTCAAGAATAAAAGCACAAACTCTACCACTCACATTCTGCTTGTTTTATGATTGCTGTTAAAAATCATGGGGGGGGAGGGAGGGAGGGGGGGAATGTGAATGAGTCAGGGCAAAACACTGATGAAGCACTGATGTCATGTTCGTATGATCTTCTAGTATGAAGGTGGTGACTAGGAGACATATATTGTATATAAAATTCCATACTTGTCACAAAATTCTGGACAATAGATATATTATTGTTTGTAAAAAATGAGGTTGATTTAACTGAAGCATGCAAAAAGCTGCTTAAGACACTTGTCCCCCTTAATAATAATTGTTAATCTGCTGTTTCATAATGTTCAAAGTCTTTATTATACAAATGCAAAATCCACAATAATATAATGAACTCTAACCTATCCTCAGTTTATACTATCATCATCAACATAATGTGGGGAAAAAGTGGTGATAGGCTGAATTTATCCTGAAATTTAAAAATCTGAATGGTCAAATAAGGATGTATTAAAATGTTTTTAAATTTCAATTGGGATTGCTGAAAAGTAGATAACTAAACTATGATTGATTTGTTTTTAGTAACTGTGATTTCCTATCAGAAACTATATCATTTAATCACCAAATCATAGATAACTAATTCCATTGCTCAGGACAAGCCCTAGCCCAGTGGTTCTCAACCTTTCTAATGCTGCGACCCCATAATACAGTTCCCCATGTTGTGGTGACCCCCAACCACTTATACATCACCAGGTGCCAGGGGCATGGCCAAAGAAAAGGGGGAAAAATGGCGGACAGCCTTGTTTGGCGACCCCCGTGAAATGGTCGTTCGACCCCAAATGGGGTCCCGACCCACAGGTTGAGAATCACTGCCCTAGCCAAAAGAATAATGGTTTGTGAGATTAAACAATCCAGATTTTTGTTTAGACAATCTGAATTGTTAAAAGGAAGTACAGAATAATGCTGGCTCTCAGGAAAGATAGAAGGCATTATCATTCAGGGAAAAAGAAATTGTTTAGGTTGTTGGAACTCTCATGGAAAATATCAGGGCTTGTATTAGCAAATACTATAATTTGTATTGTTAGTCATGAAATGGATGTATAAACAAAGTGGTGCAATGTACACTGATACTTGAGGGATATGCTAACACTTAGCCAGATGCATAGCAGAAGAAGTGAGTAACAGGAAAGTGCATCACATCATTACTTCATCTCTGTCTCTTGCAGCAATGCTCCTTTCTTTCTTTTTCTCAGAATTTTGGTCTGAGGTATCAGTAAAAAACATGAACATATTCATTTACTCTGCACAAATATAGACACCAAAGCTCAGAGAGCAGTGGTTCATTCAAATACTATTTTTCCTGTTAATGGCAACTCATCACAGTGCTTGAAGATTTCCAATAGGCAGGAATCATTCTGTATCTGTTTCTAGAAGATAAAGCAAGAAGTAACTTGCTTGTATCCTAAAATCCACCAGTGAATTGTATTATTGGAAGGCTTTCTGCAAAACTTCCTCAAGCAATTCATAATTGAATTCACCTCATGGATGCTAGTAGGACTCATGCTTATGAGTAAGCATGTTTGGGATTCTAACTTCTGTCACATGACTTCCTTGAATATTTCTTAGAATGAAAGAGAAGCCACTCCCCCTTGCTTATGCTCTTGCCACACAAGGCAATTCAATTCTTGTCATAAGTATCTCTGTAAGGGCAGTTCTTCACACTTGACAGACTAGCATGAAATGTAAGTATATTACTGTGCATTGTTTTTTTTTCACATGCTCCTTTACTAGATTTATACTTAATCTGGATTTCTTTCAATCTCAAAAAGCAAAAAAAACACACAAAAGAAATATGGTAACTTTTTCTTTCTTTTTTTTTGCTAGAGATCTTAAAATTGATTAATTTTGATTGATAATAAACAAAGATGTTCAAATGTTATATTTATATGGAAAACAATCTAATTTTCTTCATTAAAAAAACTGGGAATTTTTGACCATCTTTTGAAAGATAGTTGTTGTTTAGTCATTTAATTATGTCTAATTCTTTATGACAAAAGGACATTTCAGCAAGATAGTCTGTCAGTAACTGTTTCTTTGTGTTCTTGGAAGTGCTTGTTTATTTCACCAATTGTAGCATTGAACCACTTTGCCTTCTGAGCCCTCTTTTCAATTGCCTTCAGCTTTCCTATCATTAGCATGTTCTCCAGTGGCTATTGCCTTCATTTCATGTGTCCCAAAGATTTTTGTTTATTAATGTTTCCATGGTAGATTTTAGCTTCACCTATACACCTACACCCACTGGTGGGGGGGAGAGGGAGAGAGAGAGAGAGAGAGAGAAAGCGCAACAGGCTGCTTTTTGCACTTTTTTACTTTGAACAAGAGATTCCTTATGTCTTTCTTACTTACAGCCATCAAAGTGATATCATCAGAATATCTGAGATTATTAATACATTGAATTGCTAATTTTAATTCTAATTTCTATTTCTTGTAGTTCTGCATTTGTCGTTACATATTCCACATATAAGTTTAATAAATACACTGAAACTATATAAACTTGGTAAATTCTTAAATAAATCTTTCCTATTCAATCCTTATACTCAAATTTCTTTGCATTGCTTATTTAAATATAAATCCCTGCCACTTCATGTTCTCTAGAACTTACATTTTGTTGAACAAATTTTCCTAGATATATATACACACACAAATATATTTTTCATTCTGGTCACTGACTACAATATAACTACCTACAGCTGGTGGAACAAAATACAACAGTGTGTGACTAGTTCATAAATATAGTCAAAGTAGATCTAATTTTGCAGAGACAGTAATGATATTTGCCCACTGTGGAAACTCAGCCCTACTGGTCTGATACTAATAACTTTGTATAGAATAAATTGAGGTTGCCAGTTTATTCTATACATTATTAAATGGAGAGTAATACAATGGGCCCTTCCTTCTTATAAAAATATAGCAAGATATAGACACTAGTTTTATTTTATTCTATATCAATAGACAACCATTTAATTCTTTTACATTTCTAGATATTTCTCTTTGTATCATTTTTTATGATGCAACAAATTTTATTTCTAGTTTCTCTAGACATGTTTATCACTCTAATTCACTTCATCTATTCTTCATCACATAATCATAATGAATATTACTTTGATCATATCTGATTATTTTGTTTTCTCTGTTCTAAGTTATTATTTTAGGTGTTCATAATCTATGTTGTGGTCTTGTTTTTGCTGTCTGACTAGAGCTTCCATTTTTGCTTGTAATACGGTATAGATAGATAATTTTATTTTGGGTTTTCCTGTTTTTATTTTCTGTTTTTCTGAAGATCTTGTGTAATCTTTTAGGTCGATAAGAGGAAAAGTATTGCATCTTGTTTGGCAGAATTATATTGGTCTCCTGCTTCCTTTCATATACCAAAGCCAAATATTCCCCATTACTCCAGAAGCTATTTTACTTCCAACTTTAGCATTCCAATGTCCTATAATTACTATGGCATCTTTTCTGGTGTCAATAAGATGTTACAAGTTATAATAGAATTATTCAGCTTCCACTTCCTCTGTACCTGTGGTTAGACCATACATAGATCACTGTACCAGCGATTAGCTAGCCTTCAATTTTAATTGAGATCATCTATCTTTTTGGGATTGTATCCAAGCATTTGTACATATTTATTTATCTATTTATATAACATTTATATAACCAAACATCTACCCAGGAAACTCTAGGTGGCAATCAGAATTTTTAAAAAAATTATCCAAATTTTACAAATCAAAAAGAGAAACATTTGCATACATTTTTAGTAATAAAATTCCTGGAAAGTTGATATGCAATCTGTTCTGTCCCAGCCTACGAGAGTCCTTGTTATGCTCACAAGGAGAAACCCCTCTTCCAACAAGCAGGCAGAAACCACAAGAAAAAACCAATCCCTTTTATTCTCTCAAACCTGAGTCAATGTCCAAGGCAAACAAACAGTTCACAGAAACATGATCCTCAACACGAATGGTTGCCTTTGGCAACCAGCACCTCCCACACCTTCCCTTTTATAATTCAGCCAAGGCATGGCTTCCTAATGCCTTTGCCTTTGGAGCAGCCCCATTGCATTCCTCTGTTCTACTCGCTTCTCTTGCCTGCGTGCATCCTGGATGTTTCCCAGCTGTTCTTCATCACTGTCCAACTCAGGCTCCCAGCACAGCTGTGTCTCAGCCTGAGCACAAGTAGAGGGGCCAGGCTCCTCGTCGGACTGTAAGTCTGGGAGCTCCTCAGAGCCTTCCTCTGATTCTAATGTCACTCCAGGCCCCTCCTACTCATCTGATTCCTCAGACTCAGCTGCTGGATCCACAGGCTGGTGAGGAATCACAACACAATCTTGGCATTTCTGCCTGGACAACATCAAGTCTTCTTTGGTTCATAGTTCTGGCATTCTACTTACCAATGATATATTTGCTTTTGAAACATCAAACTGTCCAAATGCCTCTGGGCACATCACATCTAGATGTCCATTCAGCTTTAGTAACTGTAAAATTATCAGTGCTACTTGCCCTATACTTTTCCCTAGTTGACTGTTCAATACCTTCCAATACAGAGGATGGCTAATTTCCCAATATCAGGCTGGCATTGCCTTGACTGTAAATGTCTATTTGGTTTCTTGATAAAATACTAAAATACTACTATTTCATTCTCCAGGGAAATAAGATATTTAGGTTACAAATGAGTTCTCTGATAAAAATTGAAGGGGAAAATTTCTCTCCCCATTTATAAACACTGCAAAGATTTCTGGAATGCTTTTTACTGCGTTATGGCAAGTTAACAGATTCTTGAAAGCTGTGCACGTTTCTCTCCGTCCCATCTTATACTAAAGAAAATCAAGGCATATTTACTTTGAGGGGTTTTTTTTCTCTCATTCTTTTTTTCTCAGAGCTGAGTAATCTTTTCACAAACTGTTCACTTAACAATTTTGCTCATTCCTTCCCTTTTCTCAAAGCTAGCTCTTCATTCTTCCATAGATAGTGAGCTTCTGTAGGGTAGTCCAGAATCTAGATCTCTCCACTCCTAGTAAGCACCTTAGCCTCTGTGTTATGGAGGCTAGTGGAATCTGAAAGTAAGTGCTGTTTTTGTTAAGCAAGGGCTTTTGAGCCTTTAGTTTTTAAAAGTAAGATATTGCTTTGGGTAAACAAGGACTTAAAAATTTAGGCATACTTGAAATATTTGGAAAAAAAATCTTGAAAATAAAGATCCCTTAACCGGAACACTGAAACGCTTTTTGAAAATAACACACTCTGCTTTGAATAAGCCAGTTTATTGAGACAAGAGACTCCTATCAAATCTGGAAGCAGAGCAATGCTCCAAGACAGCTCAGCAACTCAGGTGAAGTCTCTCTGCAGTTGGAGCTCCAGCACTCCTTCTTTTCCCCTGCTATCACCTGCTGTAAATAAAACAAAAGCAAAACAAACAGGACTTCCTGGGGTGAGTTTTTAAACATGGAGACTCCTCCAAAACAAAGTCTGCCCCATCCACAGACAGCAGGTACGCAAATATGCTCGTCATGATTTGAAATGATACAAAAATATTGGTAATACTGGGGCTAAGATGCTATTAGGATGCCTTGATGTCCTACTATATTGATTTTACTTGTTACCAACTATTTGTATCCTGCTTTTCAAAACAATGTTCTTCCCAATGCAATATAAACCATTACAAATAGAAACATAATATATGGTTCCTCTCACGGGGCAATTTATGATCTCACATATGACAAGAAGGAATATATTAAGCTTTTATTTCCATGATTGTTAAGTGTTCATGGGAGAGACATATGGGGGAAGGGACAAATGACAAAACATACACGGATATGTCACAACACCTTCCTGTGACTTACCTGCTTGCTTTTTGTACTCTTCCTAAATGCCCATTTAAATCCATTCTCATTTTTCTTGTAGCATTTATTTGTTGGTTTGTTTATCAGACTTAGATGCCTCTTACATCATAGACTCTGGGAATTTACACTCCTAAAAATATAAACAAACAGTTCTCAGATAAACTAGTAACAATCCACCAGATGAAATGAAGTATAGAGGATCACTAAGCCTAACCACCTAAATTCCCACAGTCCAGCCAAAGTGGACTGAACCGAAACAAGCCATTTCTACAAAAATCTCATAAATCAACTCTTCCTTCCTGGCTTACAATGTTAGACATTCTACATAATAAACAACTGGCAGAGAGCTAACAGAGAGCATCCCCACACTCTCTATCAATAGAATAACCAATTTTTCTCATTTTCTAGGGAGTACTGAAAGCTATGGGTAGTGAGTTCAGTTATTTTCCCAATCTATGCAAACTACCATTTGCGGCACTCTTTGGACAAAAAGCCTTCAAGGTAAATGGGCACAAAACTGTATTTTAAAGTACAAAGATAAAATGTATTGACTTCTCTGATCAAGGATGACTAGCAGACACTGAGAGGGCAAGAATTTTATGAATTTCTTTTTCTTTTCCATCTTTAAATTTCAGGAAAGTTGAATGACAAAGCTTATGACAAAGCCTTTCCACTCTAAACTTGGTTTTTGCCACCTCTTTGCATCCTGAAAAAAAATCTTCTTGGACCTCTGATGAGTTAGTCCTCTGATTTTATCTGACCATACTTATCTGTTACAATATTATGTTTAAATTAATAAATCATCAGGAATGAATTGTAGAGCTGTAGTGTCTCACACCCCATCTACCACATTTGCAGACTGTAAAGTTGGAGTGAACTTTAGCAGTTTTGAAGGGAACACGTTTGGGCAAAATATTCACTACATATAGAATATTTCCATTCCAAACAGCTGGTAATAATTCTTTTCTTCCATTATTCTTTGAACAGAAGAGCTCAGATGGACACCTCACCAAAAATATTGCTGGGGTCCTAAAGTTGATATAATGGATAAGGTATTTACAAGGTGAATTTGGCATAATTATTATTATTGTTCTTGCAGTGGGGTATGGTGTGCCCCCCATTAATTACATATTATCATCAGTGGCTTGCAATAGTGATCAATTTAATATCTGTTGTGCCAGTGGTGTAATATCCGTGGGCTGAAAATGCCAAAACAAGTCAGTGAATGGCTCTTCACTGGAGGGGATTCTTGGTTTCTTCCTTCTCCCACCTTCTAGGACTTTGATAATACCATGATTAGATTAAGAAGCCAAATCCAGAATTACTGCTATACCAGCTATGGGCATCTGCACATTACAAGAGATAGAGCTTTGATTACATTGTCACTTTTTCCATCTTGACTTTTTTTGACACCTTCTAGCCCGATACCATAATTAGGCATTTGAAAAGCAATGCGAGTTTCTCATAGAAACTTTAGGAACAGTAGTAATTCAGTTTATTTTTTATGATGGATGGGGAAATGGCACGTGTACATACGACTCAGATGAGGCAAAAGGAAGTACTGAGTTACTAACAGGTGCTACACTGGGCACAAAGCCAATAAAGCCTTGTCACCACTCTTATCTGATCAAGGAAATAGTGAAACAAACAAGGGATTTGAAGATGATTTAATTTCTTAAAAGGTTTCTATACCACGTGTCAGACAACTTTGTAAAGGTTCTCTGGCTCCTGCATTGTTATGATTGTAGGCATAGTGATGTTCATTTCTGATGACTTAAACCTATGTCATTTTGTTTGTTTCTTCTGGAAAACCGTTCCTGGTTCATGAAAATAAATAAATAAGCCTATTAAAAGTAGATTTCAATATAAGAACTAGGAAGTTTATCTGGAATTTCACAATAATTTGGTCAAGGTCATACAATATTATCTTCCTAGAAGCACAGAGACACCATACCACTCAACACATTTTTAATTTGGTTTCCTGCAGTTACTATTTCAGCTGGCTGTGCTAATTTTGTTGGCTGTTTTTCTCTTGACAAACACAATACTGTCTCACAAATACATATATACAGAGGAAATACCAAAAAGGGCAATCAGAATGATCATCTTATATGGCAGGCATGGCAACATGTGGATTTTGTAGCTTAAAAAAGCAGCAGAGAGGCATGATAAAAGTACAATAATGTAGGAATAGAAAAGATTGATAGAAAAAAATATTTTTCAGTTAAAGCTAAAGAGGATCATGCAGGACTGAGAAAAAGAACCCCCTTATTTACACAGCATTTAAGTAAACTATGCAATGTGTTGTCATCAGATTTGATCCATACCAATTTAGGAAGCTTAAAGAGTGACTAGATCAATTTCTGAAGACTGTGACTACAATGACTACTCGATCTATGGATCCACAACGTCTCCCAAATCCCAGCAGCCCTAGTTGCTGGCAATGGAAACAGATTATCCTCAAGCCCTACTTGTAGGTGTTTTCAATAAAGGAAGGTGTTGGGTCATTAAAGAAGACAGAAAGCTAACCTAAATGGGTGTTTGATCTGATCCATCAGAACTCTTAGGTTTATATTCACTCAGAACCCTGTCTCTGTCCCCATCCTTTCACCCTTTTAATCAAAGATCTTATTTTAATTTGGTCTTATCCCCAACACCACTCTTTTCCTCCTCCCAAATTATTTTAACACTTTTACCACCAACTTGCATGAGAATCTTCTTTCTCCTGTTCACCTGTCCTCCCTCACCTGTTTCCCTCTCACTCCACCCATTTCCCCTTTCATCCCTCCCATACACCATTGGTATCAGTGCTCACAAGTGACCTGGGGGAAAAAAGAGCAAGTAATGTTCTCAACTGAAGATTCTTCTGGTTGTATGCTCCATAATGTACAGAGGGTCCGTTTCTCTGACAACTTACTATGGATACAAAACAAAGATAAACTGTGTGTGTCTGCTGTTGTAATTCTGTGAGTTTTACTATTAAGCAACCCTCATGTATGAAGTGGAAAGTTCACTCCTTCAACTCATGGGACCTAGGATCTGTTTAATATTAATAGGTGCTAGATTCCAGGTGACTCAATCACAAGCCTCATGCAGAGTAAACACTCACATTAAAGTGTAATAATACTAAAGGAGGAAGATAAATGGCTAACAATAGCAAAACTGAATCATCCACAATGTTCCCACAATTCCTCGTGGCCAATGATAACTCATATTTGGATCTCACAAAAGGGATCCAAAATAGTCCATGGATGGAAATGCCTTGCTATCCACATTCAAAAGTAAGATTTGACACAGAGTCAGAAGAGCAGATGGTATAAAACAAGTGTGGAGACCAGACAGGAAAGGAACAGGTGAGACAACTGAATACAAAGGAAAGATTTCAACTGGAGCTGCAATAGTGTATATTGAGCTTGCTGTCTCATTATGATCTCTTCCCAAGGCATCTTTGGTCTGCTGTAAGTCTAACATATATACTTATTTCCATATGTGGCTTATTTCTTAATAGATATCTTAATAGATATAACCAGTGCTTTTTTCCTAAAAAAAAAAAAAAAGGTGCCGGAACTCACACACATCACACACCCCGCCTTGCCTACCCTACAAGGTTCCATCCAAAAAAGGTGCCGGAACTCCGTCCTGGGCGTTCTATGAGAAAAAAAGCCCTGGATATAACCATTGGGATTTTTTGGGTAATTCCAAATATACAATTATATGAGTTTTGAGTTATCCCAATGCACGGATCTCTGGATCTACATACGGCATAAACTATATTTGGCTTAAGAATTTTGGTGATGATGAATGAGAAGCATATTATTGTCAGGATCAGACAACGTATCTGAAAAACAGGGATATGAGAAATAAACATATCCTATAGTTATGAAAAAATGGTTTCTCCGTATTAAAAAAAAGGGGGGGGGGGAACCTGTAAGTACCGAGCACAAAGAAGAAAGTAACTCAGTCCAGGAGTTTTCTATGTTGAGTAATGTGATGGAATGTATCTACAAAGGGGGAGAGGGTGTGATGGACTACAATGAAGCAGCTTTTTCCCAGGAAGACAGGAGCATATTGGGGGGAGGGGCAGAACAGAAAGAGCATAATCCAGAGCTGGATCAAAGAAAGAGGGAGAGATTGAGCATAATTATTCCCTAGAATCTCCACAGGTTATATGTGTTAGAGTTAGAGTAGCATAGGTTTAGTTTGGCAAGATTCCATATGTATTGTGTTAGCAAATTATTGGCTGGCTTGTTCTATGTCATTCTTGGGCGTGGCTTGACAATATTTCTTATTCTAGAAATTAATAGTTTTGCTTATAAATCCAGCTTCTGATGTTACAGAACACAGGAAGACAAATCATTATCATGAATTATGTTAAGTTTCTAGACCCAAGGAGCACTTTGAAATAATTTAATGGTTTCCAACTGGCAGCACAAATTGGATGAGTCCTCTTTATTTATTACATTTACATAGGTTATAGAGTTTTCCTTAATTTTTGCTCCACAATTGTGTGAAGTAAATTGGACTAGGCCAGGGATAGGCAACCTCGGCTCTTTTATGACTCATGGACTTCAACTCCCAGAATTCCCGAGTCAGCACAGCTGACTCGGGAATTCTGGGAGTTTAAGTCCATGAGTCATAAAAGAGCCAAGGTTGCCTACTCCTGGACTAGGGGATAGTAAGTACTTTTGTCATTTTGAAAAAAGTGCTATCAGACTCTTTCTAGTCAGTTAGGGTTTCAACATGATCCAAGCATAGATTCTCAATTCTCATATCACACTGCTACTATAGCAATATTTGTATCTCATATGCAGCTCCTTGAGAAAAAAATGGTAGAAAAAAATTGTTTGTGGATATTTGGTGTGCTTCTCCTATCCTAATGGGAAGTACGTAGTCAAAACAAGTGACTGAATATTATTTTGTTTCTTTTCTTTCTTTCTTTCTTTTTTTTTTGTTGCAGCTCAGATGACATTATAAAATGAATGTCAATCCCACAGAAGTAAAATCTGTTCTGAAGAGTTTGCTATATATCTATATGCAAGACAGGGAAAGGAAACTGAATTATACAAATCCATCTCTTGTACAGCAGGAAGAAATCTCAGCTTCTCTATACATCCTGATTATTATTGGGTTTTTTGGCTTTCTCCTTTTCTCTATGATGCTCAGCAATATTGTTCTCAGGCAGCGGGAAAACTACATAGACCATCTCTTTCAAAATAAATTTCCAGGAAACAGGAGGATAACTTCCTGCAACAGCATAATGATTAATGCTGGAAAGGGTGTTACAACAGAAGCTAACTGCCAGTGCCAAAAGACTGACAGTTGCCCAATGGCAGAAATTCCAAGCATGGAATCAGTGCAGAAAAATGTATGAAGGTGCAGTGTCATGACCTATTTTTAACTGTGGATTATTTTGTTGCCGTCTAAAGCATTAGATCTGATTGCACTAACTTGGTCCATTCCTGGCAAGCCTCATTTGGAGCAACCTTCCTATCTACAGTGCAAGAAAAAACTTGTTTATTTCTAAACTGCATTATATTTTTCCTATTCTAAGCTCCATTAAGTTTCCACTAATAATTTGGTAATCGAGTTTAAACATGTATGATTTCTTTATATTCATGTTCATCTGCACTTTTATGATGTATCCTACATGGAATAAGTAAGCCATCTTCCTTGTTTCTTAATTGTGTGTTTTGTGAAAACTTTTGTTCTTGTAGCTATGTTATGTTGTGGAGACCTCTTCATAATCTAAGAGAAATACATAAAAGCTGAAAGAGTCAAATCAAATTCATATTGACTAGAAGGTTAATTCTCCTGCCCTGGTTTGTTATTGGTCCATCATCCATGGATAGAAAATTCAAAACAGAAAGAGGTATACCTGGAATCCAAGGCTGCAAGTATCCCCTGAACATCAGCAGTCTCTGAAAATTGTCAAATTGTCATGATTAATGCGATAAAAAAAGAAACCTTATTAAAATCCATGACTAGAGAATAGGCAGGTTAATTATGCTGAAGTTTAATTAAATTTAAATGGAAACAAACTGAAGTCAAGTTTAGATTCTAACTCACCATTCAAAACCTTGTCAAGGAAAGGTTATGCATTCCTGGCATTAAATAATGAATCCAGGACATGTGTTTTGTGTACTAGACATTGTCAAAACAAAGATGGATTGAGAAGTTGATCATTTTTTACTAACCCACAATTCTTGTAAATATTTAATTCTAGTGACTGCTTATACATAATAAAGAAGGGGAGGGGGAAAACCATTTTGAAAAGAAAGGATTATAATTAGGCATCATTCTTCCCATAATGTAGTTCAGCTTTCTTTTGACATGCTGACTGGGGATAATGGGACTTGTAGTCCAACATATCTGCTGGGTAGGAAGCTGGGAAAGAAAGTCCTTTCGGGCATTTTTCTCCAGGAATAAAATGAGACTCAGTTGAAATCTGCTGTTACCTTCACTATTTATCACTTATTCTATTTGCTAAATTCTTTAAATCCTATAGCCAAGTTCTCCGGATGAATAAAAATAAAAGCATGTGCAGTACAGTAAAATGCAAAATAAAAACACCCATAAACTATGCAGCTGAAAATTGGTCGGTCAAAAACTAAAACAATAGAAATTATAATGGAATTAAAATATATTTAAAATCCAGTTAAAAAGGCAAAGAAAACGAGAAGATTTCCATCTGGAGTGAAAATGATGCTAGCATGGGTACCAGGCAAGCCTTTCTAAGAAGAAATTCCATTAATGGAGTTCCATCAGAGAAAACCTTTGTCCCTCTTGTAGAGACCCATCTTATGGCTTTTGGTGATGAGACAAGGAGGAGAACTTCAATGGAAAATAGGTAGGTATATATGGGAAATGGTGCTCCTGATCCCAAATTGTTTAACAAGTTAAAGATTAAAAGCAGCATTTTGAATCTGATCCAGAAATGGACCTGCAGCCAGTATAGATAGCAAAGAACCATCATAACCAATTTATTGGCCAGTCCCAGGAAGCAGTCTAGCCACCTTATTTTGAATTAAAATAATGTTTCTGAACTGTTTTCAAAGGCAGCCTGTTGTACAATGCACTGCAATAATCCAATGAGTTGAATAACTATTGTTGAGATTGTCTCTGTCCAGGTAAAGTTGCAGTTGATCAATCATAAATGGCACTCCGTGCCACTGAGCCAATCTGGATCTCTAATGATAGCAATGGAACTAGAAGTATCCCCCCCTCCCCTTAAATTACGAACTTTTAGAGTGCAGACCCACTTAGCTGAACTGATACATCACCCATAAGCAATATTTCGGACTGAATCCTAGTTCATTGGCCTTCATCCAGTCCATTATCCTGCCTAGGAACTGATTCAGAATGCTGACTACCTCATCTGCATTAGTAGAACTAGATGTCCTCTGATTATTGATGTCACCTTAGCCCACTTCTCTGGATGACCTCTTCCAGCTTGAAACTGGCCTGAAATTGATCTAGATGAATCAGTTTCAATCAAAAGAGCCTGAAATGGATGAGCCAGCAGCCATTCAAGCAAATTGCTGTGAAAGGAATATTGGCCACAAGCATATAAGATTTGGATTCTTTCGAAATGGCCTGATCTCTAACTCTTTGGGGAGGCTAGGACTGATGAAATAAATTTAACACCTGGACATCCCTAACTTGCACCGCCATTTATGGGATAGGTTTTTTTTTCACCATCTCTGCTCCTATCCACTCCCCATCCCAGTGTGTTAAATACTATGAACCTTTTAATTTAGACCTTTTATACAAATTCCTGTTCATCTCAATAGAATAAGGAATAATCTGTCTTGAGCTGAGTAGAGGATTTTGCTTTTTTTGATTTTATTTGGATTTTAAATTTAAAGATTTACTTTTATTCCCTCTTTTTGTTTTCTTCTTTTGTTGAAAGGGAAAGTAAAATGGCGATCGGCAGGCTTTTTGGTGTTTGTTTGTTTTTTTTTAAATGACTGGAACAGAATGGAACGGATTTGATTATTTATAATGATTTTTTGATGTTGGGTTTGGATTTTAGGAGGATTATTTTCCCTTCTATTTAACTTTTTTTTATTTTTTGAAGGATTTTTTTTGTTGTTGTTCTTTGTACTTTTAAAAAAATGGAATGGATTTTTTCTATTTAATTATTTTTTTCTCTTTCCCTTTTCCTTCTCTTTCTTAACTTTTTTCTTTTTATTATAATGATCTCCTTTTGAAGGAGTTTTTGATTTTTTGGAGTTAATGTCTCTTTTTTTTTGTTTAACTTTTTTTTCCCTTCTTTTTTTTGGGTAATTTTTAAGAAGGAGTAAAGATTTTCTAAGATGGCTCCAAAACGTCCAGTAATTCCTACAGCTCCTAAGGTGGTTTCTTCTTCGGTGATATCATCAGTGCAACAATCTAAATCAATAGCTTCACCCTCTCCTTTGGCACAGTTATTAACGGTGAAGGATTTGCAAGACATAATGGGAAATGCTATATCTCAAATCAGGGGAGAAGTGAAAGAGATTTTAGTGGAAAATAATAGGATTCTGAGGCAAGATATAGTTTTGGCTTTAAAAGGAGTTGCCTCTGTTCTTGAAAAGTTGAATTTTCGTAGCAGACAAAGTGGAGCTGATGGAAGGAAAATCTGAAGGCATGGAAAAGGAGATGGAAAATTTTCAAGATGAGATTCTTATGCTTCAATATAGAGAAATGGAATATGCTTTAAGAATTAGAGGCTTGAGAGAGTCTCTGCAAGGAGATTTGAGAGAGATGGTTGCAAATGACTTTGCTGTGATTTTGGACAGAGAAAAAGAGGAAACATTTAGTGAAATTGAAAAAACATTTAGAGTTAACTCTGTGGTGGCAAAGCAAAGAAATCTGCCAAGAGATGTGGTAATTTATTTTGGGAAAAGATCCCTGCGCAATGAAATTATACAAGCTTTTTACAATAAGAGGTTTCAAATTGCTTCACAAGACATTATAATTTTAAAGGAGATCCCATCTAAAATTTTAAGAAGAAAGGAGTTTGCTTTTTTAGCAGATGAACTTAAAAAGAGGCGAATGTTGTTCAGATGGGATGTCCTGAGTGGAATGGTGGTGAATTATCTGGGGACACGTTATAGACTTAATACTGTTTTCAAAGCAAAAGAGTTTTACACTTCGGTCCTGGGGGTATGTTTATCGCCACCTATTATGTCTAAAGTTTCGGAAGGGAAGAAGGCAGAATTGCAGTCTGAAGAGCCTATATTGATGAAAATTGGGAAATTTCAGACTGAGGGGCCTCAACAAGTTGAGATGAAGGAGCAGAGGACAACCCGTGTAACACATAAGCGTAAAGAAAAGGAGCAACAGAAGAAGGAGGTTAAGGAAGCCTCACAAGTATTGGTTTCTGAGTCTGCAGGAGAAGCAAGATTTATAAACTTTTTGGAGCAACCTTTAAGGGCAGATTTCCAAGCACTTCTCTCGAGGTTTATGGATAAGAGAGATTGATAAAGAATGTATAGATTGTTTTTAGGTTACTGATAGATTACAGTTCACGGTGGATGGAATTGGTTATTGGTAAAGAGGAGAGAAGATTATGGAGATCGAATGAAAATTTTAGATAAGAAGTTTAAGTTTAGCAATTTAAGGAGTATTCAAAAGAGTACCTTGTTTTAATGGTATAACTAACGTTTATATGTTTATTTTTGTGTTTGAGGATAAAGAAAGAGGGAGAGATTAGATTTTATATAATATAAGCATGGTATTATGGAGATTGAATGAAAATATTAGATAGGTAGTGTATGAGAGTACCTTGTTTTAATAGTATAACTAACGTTTATATGTTTATTTTTGTGTTTGAGGATAAAGAAAGAGGGAGAGATTAGATTTTATATAATATAAGCATGATATTATGGAGATTGAATGAAAATATTAGATAGGTAGTGTATGTTTAGATATCTAAGGAGTATTTAAAGGAACATTTTGCTTTAAATATGTATAAGGGAATTTCAATGTTATAAGTAATGTTTACATGTGTGTCTTTGAGGGAGTTTATAAAGAATGATGGATAAATTTTAAATAATATAAGTATGACATTAGAAAATGTTTAGAGTATTTTATAATGTGTTTAATGATTGTAATCATAATTTTTTTTTTTGCTTTTTATATATTGGTCTTAAAGTATTTTATAATTTGTTTAATTATTCTAATTAATTGTTTATGGCAGTGGCTCTCAACCTTTCTAATGCCGCGACCCCATAATACAGTTCCCCATGTTGTGGTGACCCCCAACCACTTATACATCACCAGGTGCCAGGGGCATGGCCAAAGAAAGGGGGGGGGGAAATGGCAGACAGCCTTGTTTGGCGACCCCCGTGAAATGGTCATTCGACCCCAAATGGGGTCCCGACCCACAGGTTGAGAACCACTGGTTTATGGTGTATTCAGCTCTGGGAAGGTTGGGGGAGGGTTGGGGTGGGTTGGGAGGGTTTGGGGAGGGGAATTTTTTTTCTTTTTGTAAAATTTTAAAAATTTTCAATAAAAAAGGAATAATCTGTCTTCCATGTTGTTGTTTTAAAATATAAATAACATAGAAATTTCTGTACTCAGTCACATGACATATCCATAATCTACATTTTATGTGAACCATGCAAATAAACAGTACATAAATTGGCTGTTGAGCTCTGTCATTGATATAGCCCAAGCAATTAAGTCTGAATGTAAAATCAAAAAGTCAATTCATTGTTCAGAGAGTAGCAAAACTGTAACGTGAAATCATTGTGCAAAGTCCTATTTGTGGGCCTGAAGTTCATACAAATAGGATCATAATGGAGACGGCATAAGGAATGAATAGTACAGTATATTGCAAAACAATTTTACTTATAGAAAAATGATCCTTGAGATAAGGTGTCATAAAAATATGGGAAGGTTCCTACACAAATCGTCTACTTTTTCTTTGGATGCTTCTACAGTATCTGATGGGAAAATTCAGAAAAGGGCAATGGAAACCTGATATATATGATGACAATGTCAAAATGTGGGGGTTTCTTTTCATAGAAACAGCTTATTAACACAGAAATATGGTCAATATTACTGTATTCTTTCTTTCACAGCGGAGACAGAAAATTAAGGCAGTCATTTTGATTTTGACAAGAGTGGTGTTTTCATTCAACATGACAAGGTACTTATGTATCGTTCCTTCATTTCAGATTACAGCTTTGCAAAGCTTCTTCCATTTATCTGCCTGTACTTTGCTGCTAGAGTGTACCGTCTGGCAGCTTTATTTATGGGATTCAGTAGAGAAATATATGGGGCCCAGGAATACAGAACCTAGTTAATTGACCTGAAGAGAACAAATATACTTCTACCACATGTATAAACACATCAGCAATTAGATATCTAATTCCTGAAATGCATACAATTGTCCCTGTACATCTGACTCTTGCTTTCTGCAATGTAGGCATAGATTATGGAGTGAGAATCTTTGGGATGGCCAGGAAGACAGGATTCTTTTGCACATTAATTACAAGCAAAAGCTGTGAAAGTCAAACTCAGAGAGTCAAGAAGCAGAGTTAAGAAGGGTCTATATTTGAAGCAGCCTTTTTTCAATCTGGCATTCTGAGAGTTACAGAATTATAAAATTCTGGAAGTTGTAGATTCAATGAACTTGGAGAAAGCCAAGTTAAATGCTAGCTAAGACTCAAGATTAATAAAGGCAGTAAATAATAAAAGGCAGCTGATTACTAGTTCTATGATAAAGAGCTATAAAATCCACCTTCAACTCATATTAACACTTAAATTAATGCAATAAATATTAACGTTAAAGGTTTTGTTTCAATAATATATTTGTATAATACAAATTGTATTATTAAAACATTTTAATAATACAAAACACTTGTAATCTTATGGTGTGATTGAAATGTTAGGCCTATAGGACGTAAGACGTAAAGAATCTCTTAGTTAAAGTTAGTTAAAGTTACCTAAACATGTAAAGGAATGTCTTTTCGTTCAGTGCCATTATAGCTTTAGTTTCTGAATACATCATTAAACAAGAACGACCTATATAGGAGTTGTAGCATAGTAAGAGGGTAAGAAACCCCAACATTCCATCCTCAATCAGCCTGATGACCTTTAACATTCCATCTCCTTAACAACGGACTTCCTCAGCATTGTTGCCACTCTTGAAGAAGCCATTTTGCCTAACAAGAGAAATAACTCCAAATGTATAAACAAGACCTGCCTAGTTTCCCCCAAGTGGCCAGCGAACCAGATCCCTAGGATTTCCCACCATGTAGCTCTCAAACATGTTTGCTTTCTCATTTTTCAGGCTTCCTCATTATTGGAAAACAGGCATGCAATGATTGTTGCAATAAATATGGTTCTTTCTCCTCAGTGTTGGGTTCTGAACATCTGACTTTTCCACAACAGTTAATATTCGAAGTGCTTTTGTGCTTCACAAATGTACCCTATTAATCATTCTTCTATCTTGGAAATATTTTTTTCTTTGATGTTCACTTTTATGATAAATTAAGACATACCAAAGAGTCATTCACTGCACAGTTGAAAAAATTATTCTGAATTTAAGACCACACACCATGCCTCAAAGAAAAAAGTCAGAAAAAAAGTGACAAGAATTCTGAGCATTGCTTAGTAACAGCTGACCTTCAGGCAAATCTTCAGATATGTTCTTGCTTTTCAGCAGGGATGTTTGCAGATGTTTGCGCCATCGACCCACTCCTTTCTTACCAACTGTTACTTTTATTCTTATTAGAAAATGTTAAGATTCTGCCTCATTCCACCCCATCCCCTTGCATAGCAATTCAGAGATAATTGGAGTATAAAATTTTGGCTTCCTATCAGGATAAGTCATGCTGTTTGTTCCAATTTACTTTTTTTTCAGGTGCACTTCATTTTTCCCATTATACTGGACAACATTTTTTTTCAAGTTTTGCTTTCTTAATTTGGTGATTATGATGGACTCCTAAAAACTGAACCTAAATATAATTTCAGAATGACTATCACACAGGAGTCTTGAGAAATATGAAATTAACTTTGAATGACTATAATGTATTTAATCACATAAAGTTTTTGACATGGTGCATGAGTTCAACAGGGCTAAAAGTGTTTTGCTGCTGAATTTCATTTCTATTTAATCTCCCATGCATCTCACTTCAGTGTTCAACCATGATCAGCCAGCATTGAATCCTGTTGCCCTGATACCATTTTTCTTTTGTGGTAAATCCTTTCACCATGTTTGTGACTGACAGCCCCTAGATTTCCAGGAAAGAAATCCAAGTGTGAATGCCGAAAACGAATCTTCAGTGACATGTTACACTTCATGGTCTTGTATGCTGTAAGAGGTTTGTCAACCAGGTGAACGTAGCTTGCTGCTTTGTAGTTGCCAAGAAAATTCTCAACAACATTTTTGAATGTTTTCCACACAATTTTCTCTGGCCCCACCAATAGATCTTCAAACTGCTCGTTATTGATGATGTACTATATCTGATCTTTAGACCAACAAAATGCCCTCCTTAATCTTGGCATCAATTATTCTTGAAAACATTTGTCTCAAATAACAAAAATGTTTATTGTTCATCAGTCCAAAATTTACATGAAGCAGAAGCAAAAATATCTTTGTCACATCAACAAATGGTTCATGTGCCAGGTTTTCCTGTCCCAGAACCAAATTCTTTTGGGGTGGCCCTTTCTTTTTAATATAACGTGACTCTCTTGCATGTTTGTTCTATGCAACAACAGTACTCAGTATGTGCAAGAGCCACTACTTTTAAACCTCCACAGATATTGTATTTGTACTCTGTGTATTGGGTGTGTTTTAATAATAGTTCCATATTTTCATATGTTTCTTTCATGTGTGCAGCATAGCCAACAGATAATGAATGGTGTATATTGTCATTGTATAAAAATGTGCAGAAGACTTCTATAAAATGATACTTGATAAGTTAAATTATAAGTTATTTTCATGACTAGCAGCCATAAACCTGTAAAATACACCAAAAGGTGTTCAGGAAGCAAAATCCTTATTGTCCGTGACACATGAATGCATAATTCAGTTTTTGTTTCATTTTTTTTTCTTTTGACGACATTTTAATCCCTTTATCCAGGGTGGAGTTGGGGCGACTGAAAGGAGCTGAGCGTTCCCTGGCCAGATGCCCTTCCTGGCACCTTTAGTTTTTATTTCAGTATTACTAAATAATACAGGCAGTGAAATCCATTATGAGATCATCACTATCCCTGTGCATCATTAGAACTTTCTGTGCAATTCAATTTTGCCAGGAAATCCACAATGCATCGCATTGTAAACCCATTATTAAAACACATTATTCATCGGAGTTCTCACGATGCTACATCAAGAAAATTATGTCTGCAATATTTGAAAAGCTTAAGAACTCTGCATCTTAATGACTACAAGACTATATTTTTAGGTGAAACTGATCTTTCTGAAAGTCTCATAACAGGAGACAAGTTTCCTTATGAAGATAATCTCAACTGGCCTGCATGGACAGTTGTACATGCTGGCAACAGCCAAGGATGGATACCCTGGAGATACAGAGTATATCTAAGGGATGACTTACCCTTAAGGCAACAAGATGACATGTTTCAAGAATTCTGTGACTTTCTCTCTATTACTTATGGGAAGTGTGCCATTGTGGTCAAAGAGAAAAAACGCTTAAGGGTGAAGACTGAAGGATCTAACCAGGAGGGGGACACAATTCATCCTCAGGCCATTTCTCACCCAAACTTGTTGAACATCAAACACTGCCCTGAAATTGCCAGGGCTACAGGTCACGAACTTCTTTCAGTGCCTTTTGATTACAATTACTTGCATCCTATGGATGCTGTCTGGTCATCTTTGAAATGGTTTATTATCAATAACAGAAAAGACTTTTCTCTGACATCCTTGGAAAGGACCTATTCCTATCAATGCATCCTGTTCAGTGACCTGATTGGGAAAGGAATAGAGGCAACGAGCCCAAGCAAATGGAAAGTGGCTGTTAACAAAGTGCGGAGATGGGAAAATTACTACTTGGATAAGTTTTCCTGACTTTCTCCAGTCGTTTGTCAAGTAATCTTTGGTTGAAAATAGGTTAATTCATATGAACTAAATGTACATTTTCACTTTATAATTCTAGGTCAATTGTGATAATAAAAAGAATAGTTTTAAAGTGACTTTTAGTGTTATAGTATTAGATTCACATATGCCATTTAAGTAGATTAATTTAATTTTGTTTGATGTGGACAAACAGCTATTTGTAGATATGTAGATACTTTAAGGAGAAAAGGAGAAAAAGAAAAATAAGGCCAGTTATTAAGAATTAAGAAATTAAATTTTCTTAAATTAAATTTTCTTAAATTAAATAACTAAATTAAATAAATTAAGAATTAAGTTATTAACAATTAAGAAAAACAAAGATGTAATCTAATCCATATCCCAAATTTATGAGGATGTACACTTTAATTGGATCACATTGATTCTCATATTGGTGTTAGAACAAAGTATAAGAGCAAAACATTGATGGGCTCCAATAGAGATATTTCCTTCTCTTCTAGAATCTTTTCATATTTTGAATAAGAAAGAAATAGTCTAAGTCAGTCAAGAGATAATGGTAGTCACCCCAAGAAATAGGTGGGTTTGGGGGAGAAGTATAGTTAAATCTTTGTTTTTTACAGACACTCTTCTCTGAAAACTTTTTCTCTCCCTAAATCTAGTTACCAGTCAGAATTCCTGGCCCTTGGCTGCATTATATTTTAAGCTGATTTATTTTGGTCAAATTTCATCCAATTATCACCAAACCTCCAATACTTTTTGAGGTGATTAAGAGATTTATGAATTTCGTATTTCTGGTTCATAAAATGACTATACTGTATTTTTGGAAGTAGTACAATTCAGAAGAATAAAAATAAACAGAAGAGTTCAACCAATGCTAAATAAATCTACACTTAAATTTGAAACCATTTTTGTGATGCTCAAGTAATAATCAGCCATGATTATACTCTAGCAATGTACACATTCAAAAGAGCTTCTAAAGAGGTCTTGTGGCTGTATCCCTGAAAACATAAGTTACAGTAAATATGAATACTGTGGTAGAGACTCAGCCTCCAAATAGGATGCATGTAGCAAGACACTGGTCATGTTCAGAGGATAGTTCCATGGTTTAAAAAAATAAGGCAAAAAGTAAATCTGTGACATATGTTATACAAGGAAAGAGAATTACAGTTAACACAAATTCTCTCTTGGCTTCTCTATGTCTACTAGTCACTTTCACCTTCCTTTTGGTTCTCTTTTTTTTTTCTCATTTCAGACTTTCTATGCCCCATTTCTCCCCTTGGAGTTAAGTTTGCCAGTATTACCTGAAGACTTTTTTATCTTCTAGCAATTGACACACTGCTAGTTTAGCTAGCTGAACAATATTCTTGAAAGATTCCCACCTATTTTATTGTATATCTTTTTATCCAAAGATTTTTTTAAAAATAATGATACTGGTATCATTTGAATCCATCTTTAGATGGAGAGGATACAAGCACTTCCTGACATTTCTGCTATACCAGCAACGAAGAAAAAAGGCCTTCTGAATTCAGTAATAGTAATTTCCAAACATATACAGTATTCCATTGTCAGCCTATGGTATTTTTTTCTTATTTAGGGTGACTTTAATCATGGTTAGCAACAGCAAATCATCACATTTCCACAGGATGGCAGTACATGATATTAATGTGCCATAGACCTTGGTGTTCTAGGGCAAGCAATGCCTCTCATTCTTAATTCATGTTTAAGTGAAAAAGAAAAATTGGCAACATGGGTTCCTTCAAATGTTGTCCAGTTCTGTTTATCAAAAGCCCTGGCTAGGATGGCTGATGAGAGTTGTTTCCAGCAACATCTGGAAGCTGGCCCACGGACTGATTTTCCAACTTATTAATTAAAACAAAATAAATCGGATAGCAGTGATCAGTTTTCTCAGCAACAAGCAGAAGAATATGTTTCCCAGCTACAAAAAGAGAAACAAAACCTTTTAAAAGCCACGTGGAAGACAAATGGAGATTTTAAAAAGAGCCTAAGTAAAATTCTCATCAGATTCTCAGAGTGAAAGCTTGTGTCCCAATTGGTGCACCTTGCCTGGAAACAACAGAATTATAAAATAAATATTCAGCATTTTCCCATTTTCATTCCTATAGATTGTACCTGCTGATACGGCTTGTACTCTGTGCAAATTTCAGGTACTTTTATAATTAATCTGGTTCATCAAATCATCATATTAGATTTAAGTGGCTGCTTCTTACTTTAAACATGGAAGATGAAAACTGAACCTAATAAGCCTTATACAGTAACAGTGGGGTCATTATTTCATTTGTATAAAAGGGGCAAAGGAGAAATTTTTTAAAAAAATCTGGTAAGGCAATACATCTTGTCTCACATTAATGAGAGACCTGTATCTCTTGGTTATTAGAAAAAGAGAGATGAATTAGGCAATTTGAAATGTATTTGCAATTATTAGGGCAATGCAAACAATCATGGACTTTTTAAACTATGTATTAATTTAGAGCCCATATTAAGGATTTTAAAGCTCTGTATTCATGTCTAACTTCAAGTCCCAGAAAAAGCAACACAAGAGCTTATCAAGTTTTTCTTCAACTTAGTAAAGTTGCAGCACCTTTAATATTTACTAAAAAACAAGCCCTATTATATTGAATGGAACTTTCTGCCATGCAAGAGTGCAAAGAACTACAGCCTTTGATTTTGTGGTATATTATGCCCAAAGTTACGAGTGCAGTCATCTGCAGGCCCACTCTAAAGTCTGATTCACTTCAATAGGAATCACAGCAGATTTTAAACTTTAGCACATGGGTGTCAAACTCAATTTCATTGAGGGCCACTTCAGCATTGCGGTTGCCCTCGGGAGGCCGGGGGTGTGTGGCCAGGATGGGTGCGGCCTACTGGGTGGGCATGGATGGAGTGGGTGTGGCCTACTGGGTGGGCATGGCCAGCTCTACATCTTTCGCGTCAAGGGTGCCGATGGGGGCCTGGGCAGGAGTGGGACAGATCTGAGGGTCTCTGGCAGAAGGGGATGGGACCGGGGCAAGCACCAAGACATGGTCCATTTCTTCATTCCTCACAAAGGGTGACATCTCCCCAGCATGCACCCAGGGGGCAGGCCGACGCGGCAGGAGCTGGTTCCTCACTGTTTCTAGACGGCCTTGTGGAGCTAAGACTGAATGCATTTCAGCATAGATGGCCACCACAAAATTGTACATTGGCTCCCGGCCGGCCTGGGCCAGGGCCAAGACAGCGGGGGCCATTCCCTCACTGTTTCCAGGATGGCTTCGCGGGCCATATGAAACCATTTTGCAGGCCACATCCGGCCCCTGGGCCTTGTGTTTGACATGTCTGCTTTAGCATAATCTTTTTTTCCACATACAGTTTGTACCTTCAGCCTGGAAAAGCATAACAGAGTGAGGAGTAATGACTTAATCAAATGTGAAATTTTAAGACTGCACCTCTGTACTTGCCCCAAAGTGTCTTTTCCAGAGCAGATAATGGGGAATGAAGTATCAGGGACTGCAGCCACAGAGCATACTTATTCTGCTAGCATTATCTATTTTACTGGGAGACAGACAGCGGTAGATGTAATACCTGGTTCCTTTTCCCTTTCAGTTCAAAGTGTAGTTTTAAAACCAATAGAACAGTCAGGACTAATCTAATTTATTTATTTCCAGTAGGATGTATTCATGAGCAACACTGACCAGATTAGGCTGCAAAGAGGAATAGTTTTCCTCTTGCATGGCAGAATAATCAATTATCTATTTAACTGGGAGGTATTTAAACAAATGGAATACAACATGCAAGATTGCAAATGATACCAGTTTTGCAAAGGAAGATTTTACTGAATAAGTAACTGACAATATCCGGCTACTATCTGTAACAAAACAACAAAATTAAAATACATTGTTGTTCAAATAAATCTTGATCTTAGGAAATTCATTTCTCCAGCAAAGCTCTCCATTTCAACGAAATCTTCAATGCTTCCCAGAAAGGCATCCAAGTCAACTGCCGTATGTCTGAAAAATCTGCACACAAAATAGAATGATTCTATTTGCAGCAGCTAGTAAGTCTCCATCTTCTCATGCAAAAAGCAACATGCGAGTTGGGAAATTTTGCTTTGATGTCATAGGCTCCTAAGCAACACTGCAATCCCTTTCATCACAACTCCTAATGCTACTGTACCTAAGGTCCACCTGACTGCTCGGCTTCAACTTCACAGCTCAAATCTCAGCCCACTCTATTCTCTGCATAAAAAAATTTAGGAGTAGAAAGGAAGATGTGGACCTGGGGTTTGACTCTTCCTTTTCTTGCTACTTCCTCCCAGCTTACTTTTTACACAATTTGAGATCTTTATTTTGTTTGCAGAAGATAGCGCCAAAGTTTTATAATGTAAGCCAAAGGGCACAGTCATCCTACCTGGTAGGTTATTTTGAAGTACACAATCTTTATTCATTTGAAAGCTGACAATGTTGGAACTAATCTGGAAGCCGCATACAAAATGGGTGGAATGTGAGTTACGCAATCCATTCTCCTTTTGGCTCTCCCCCCCTTCTTTCCTTCCTTCCTTCCTTGTTAGAAAATAAAATCAAGAAAGAAACAGACAATTTTTATCAAAAGTCTGAACTGACTGTTGACAGAGGGATTCCAAAATTAGGATAAGTCACACTAGGAAATAAAGAGAAAGCCTTATATACATTAATAATAGGGAGCAAATGCTCAGCCCTAGATAAAGGTCTTACTCTTATAAAGTCTTACTCCAGATGCCATTCTAAACTGAAACATGAAGTGTAGTCTTATCTTCAGTGGCTTGATATGGAATCTGCGGTCCAAGAGGTTCAATTAACTCCCATTCTCCCTTCACTCAGAAGATGACACAACATTTTGCATGCTATTACTCAACTTTTATTCAAATTATTTTTCTTAAGTTCAATGTACAAAATGTAATTTATATTTGGGTTTCAAGATTTGTTTCTTGCTGTTGTTTCAGATTTTGTGATGCAATGTTTTAACACAATATCATTTTATTTTGAAATGTTTAAAATAAAATAGTTCCAGAAACCTAATCATTTGAATTTCTAAGATACCAGAAAGTGGCACTCAAGTCAGTTTACAAATGCACATGCCATTTGAGGTTCAGAGCACCATATAACATTTCATAATTTCATTGTTTTCCCAGAAAACAAAATTGTTTTGTGTTCTGAAACTCATCTTTGTAAATCTCCCATTCATGCAAGTTCTAAATGCAGCAATTATCATGTATCAAATAATAAAATATGCCAATCAAAAGCACTATAATAAGAGAAGCCTTACACTAGTCTAAGAGATCATTAATTACTGTTCCCAATTGTCAGAGTGCTAATCACATTTTTGCACATATTTGAAGGTAAATGTTCTGTTGTGATAGACTGAGGTCTGTATGTATCTCTGTGTATTTGTGTGTTAAGTGCACGTGGATTCAGGACAAATATTCCATATATAATAAAAGGAATTAATTTTCAGTTCTTTAGAATGCCTTGAAATTGCAACGCTGATTCTTTCATTTAAAAAACAATTGGAGCTTTTTCAGCCACATTACAAGGTTGCCCCAAAGAGGCCCAGCAAAATAAGCAGTGCAGCTTATTCAAATAAAATGCCTAACTCAAATATATTCTTCCGGAGCTCCCGTTCCAGTATGTTTTATGTACTAAGTTAAATGTTTTAGTTGACACTGTTCCCATAGTAAACCTCCAAATGATAATCCTGGCATAAGCCTTTTACTACAATTGAACAGGAAGACTGGAAGATCATGACTTGAAGAAGGAGACATATGGGTTTTTTTTCTGTCTTGGAAAAAGTTTTGTCTTTAATAAGGCAAAGTCAGAGAATGGAAGGTGATAATGGGAAGGTAGCTGACAGGGTCTTTTTCTCATATTAAATGTTCCCATACTAACGTATTTCTGCCCAGGAAAATAAGAATAACTTATCTTGCTGTACATATTATTTAAGGAGTGATGGTCATATTTAAAGGAGTGGGAGAATAGGAATTTGAAAGCACTCCTCCTACTATGACAGTTGAAGTTTTCAAATACCTATGAGATATATAAAATCTAAACTGAAGTTCCAAAGAATTGCAGTAAACTCACCAAGCATGAAATTATTCAGAGGAATGTGAGTTACGACAACACTCCCACACCTTCAAAGGAAGGCTGGATTCAACAATGAACCACTGATTGTTTAATTACAGTTTACTGTATATCCCATAACAGCCTGTTCCAACTCACATTACATTGTAAATACCAACCCATTTCTAGCTGCATTTTTATTAGATTGTATGCTTTTAATGCATTGGGAAGCTGTACACCACCCAGCTGAAAGCACCTTCAGCCCTGGAAAAAATCAAGAATTAATATGTATGCATTTGTGTATTGAGGCATGGGGCCGCATATATGAAGATCACCAACATAAGTCATCCAGGTTTTCAGAACTGGCAAAAGAGTTGTTTATATGCCCAAGTGTAACACTGTAGAATTCTTTCACGCAAAAAAAAAAAGAGGGGGGGAGGAGTCTTCTGACCAATTCTGAAAGTAGAATGGGCCATGTCACTTCACAACTTCCTTCATGCACTGTTTCAATCAATAGGGTATTCCTCTTAACTCCATTGTTATAAAACATTATTAATTCCAGTGAAAATATACCTTTAGATCTTTACTTTTCTTTTTTCTCCAGTTCTCTTTTCTGCTTTTCTTCTTGTTCCTTTTTCAGCTTCTTTTCAAGTCTTTTCCTTTGATATATTTTTACCCCAGCAAACGCTAAGCAAAGAATTAATGTTTTAGCAGCTAAAATGTACATTAGTAGTGGAAAATGTTCCAGTGCCTAAAACAGAAAAAAAATCACTTAGTTATTTTAATGTAATAAAATAAACAGAACAGCTAGAAAATGAACATTTGAGTCTGTAAAACTCAAACTAATTCCTTGAAACAGCTATTCAAAAGGCCTTCAAAGTCATGGAATAGTTATAACTTTCATCATATTAACAATGCCTTATGAAGATGATCTCAGTTAAAATACTGTACATGTACTTTATAATTAATTCTCTAAACATTCCTTTGCTTCCTGGGGGTTAATTTGTGATGGTATGTACAATGTTCTTTTAACATTACAAATAGGCTCACTAAAAAGCTAACCATAGTTAGGGAGCCCCCAGTACAAGTTTTGCTGGCTTTAACATAATCTATTAAAGAAGAACAGAATGATTATGTAGGCTACAATTTTATAAAGTGTAAAAGTAAAACACACGCATCAAACCCAAATCATGTAAACAGAATCTGTTCTGTACAGAACCAGGATAAGCTGACCACACGGATAAAGTACAAGAATACACAACCTGAAGTGTGTAGTCATTGACTGAGATATGTTCTTGCACAGCCACAGCTAAGAAACAAGATAAAGAGTCCATAGGAAGAACCTGCTATAACCTTGCTACAAAACCATTAATTTATACAGTACAGACTGTAGTTTTCTAAATATATAGGCATCCATCTATAAATAAAATATACAGGTCTGTTTCTTCCAGACTCACTAAGAAATCATGAGACCAAAATTTAAGAGACAAATTAAAATTTCTCTCACCTTCCAATTCAGGAGCATCATTTTAATTCTGTATCACTGTAATCTTCAACTTAGGATGTGACAAAGAATGCGGGGCAAATATGTAAGAATGCAATATTTTTTTGTAAAAAACCACCTGGCGAAGGAAAAGAAGTGATATATTCAAAGAACCCATTTGACCCACAGAAAATAGAAAATTGCTAGGGGCAAGCTCATCTGCCAAAATAGCTCACTGATTTATTTCATCAAAATGATGAAATGGGATGGTGCTTGCATTATGATTGTCCAAAACTGCTTCTGTCATCGTCTCTGTCCCCTCTGAACACCATAGTGTCTAGATGCCTGTTAAAATGGTACAGAATCCCAGGGCACGGATTGCTTATTTCTCTCTGAAAACATATATCTGCCTGTAAATGAATTGAACCAGAAGATTCTAATGGCCATAAGGCAGTGGCAAAAATTTAGGAAGCTGCACTTCAGTTACACTTGCAACCACTAACTTGGCCAAAGGATAAACTATTCATCTTCCAAATTTGGTATATTACCTGCAAAGCTGTCCACAAACTGCTTGGAAGTCAACAACTGGGCTTCAGCTTACCCACCCAATTCTTAGCCAATAGCAATAGAAGCAATAGTTAAGATGAATTTAATGGGCTCTGGCAGTAAACAAGAGAATGAGAATTGCAATAATAAAAGATCCATGCTGGAGAATTGGAAAATCCTGTGTGTTAATAATGTGTGGCATAGAATAAAATATACAATAAAGAAAAAAAAACAGCAATTGAAAACTGAGCACTAATGGTAACATTTTCACTATTAAATTTAAGGACTTGCCCTGTTTATATTGTAGGTTCCATATTCCGTCCCCTATTTTCTGAAACCAAAAAACATTTTAATTCTTGACTGATTTTTTTTTTCCATTCTAGAGCAAAAATTCTGAAATGGGCATAGCAACGAGCAAACAAATTTTTTCTACATTGCTCAGTATTATTTTAAACAATCCTGATTTATCTGAATCAAAGCCCCTTCTGAAAATAAAATTCAAGAATTTATACCACCAATTTATACTTGAAATACATTAAGGAGTTCAAGAGAAGTTAATTCTAAACATACGATTAATATGTTACATATTTCAATGCAAGTTTATTCCAAAAACATTAATTTATATTTATTTCTAGTGATTTTTCTGTCAACTTCTAGGACTTTCTCCCAGTTCAAACAATTTCTCTTTATTTTTCACTTTAATTTATATGTCTCTGCCAAAGCCCTAGGTGGAAAGCCATTTATTTTTTAAAAAAATTAAAAATGCATCTGATAAGGTTCTCTAGTGATACAATAATAGAAGTATGATTTATTCATAAAGACTTCCCAGAATTATGTTCTTGATACCCTCAGAATCATGTAGACATATCAAGTTCCATATTTATCTTTTTCCCCCTAAATGGGTTGATATGAGATAATTATGTGAACATGGTTTGTTTTCTTATACTTGCAGTTTTTCCTAATAAAATAGCAAGATCTAATGCTATGCCAGGACTTTATGTTGTTTATTTATTTGGATGATTTATATTTCTGTTCACCTAACAAATGACTCCGAGAGACTTACATGCAGCTAAAAACAGAAAAATCAAGTAAACCAAAAGCAAAATACACAAATGCCACAATATAGCCAAGCCACAATATATTCCAGTGCAGTCATTTAAGAATGTGTTCAATCAATGTTTTGGCCCAAGGAGGCAGGAATCAGGTTTCCAAGATCTTATGAAAAACTAGCAGTGTCAGGGTCATCCAAATTAATTCACAAAGTCCCGTTAATGTAACAACCTGGATAGCATTCTGAATAATTGCTATTTATCTATAAACTAAAGCTATACGGTGCTTCAAATTTGATTTTCAAGAGATGTTTCAGAGTATATGGGTATGCAAACTTAACAGCTACCTACTACTATTTAAAGCACCCACATGCTTTCTGGGATATACATACAGAGAGCAGCTGTACAATTAAAAGAAAACAGGCTGTTGTTCAGTTGCAGTTACTATGTCTTTAAAAAAAATCTTTCTATTTAAGGCTTTCGGCTGAGACTTATAAACCAAAATGAAAACACTTCAGGCTGGAAGAAAGTACTGAAAATATATGTTCATTTTAATTAAAATCAAATTTAGTTTTACTTGTGGGTTCATTAGAGAATGACTTAGGTATGGCTGAGTGCAGCCTACATTAAAAATTTGTTCAGCTCTTGTTATTATGGATAAGACAAATAATCAAATGTTGAACTTTCCAAAATGTGAAGACCTTGATCTAAATTAGCCCATCATTGGGGCCTGGAATATAAGCCATCAGGATGGTAAATCTCCCATGAGATTCTAATAGGAAAAAAAAATGGCACAATGTGGATTGGATTATATTACTGTTATATGGAATCAGCTGACTGAACAATTGTACCCAATTAATATACTCCATGTCAAACTGTATAGAAACATCAAGTAGCTGTCAATGCTGCTAACATCGGATGCTCTTGCTTTGACAACAGATGAAAATGCAGCCATTTTCTCTATTGCATTTAGAATTAGTTGCTACTGGGAGGGGGAATAGGGATGAGAGTCCAGCTAGTCATAACAATAATAACTTAATCATGGAACCTAAGGACATTGGGCCCAGAGCTCATACTGTTTTGGCAGGCTGGAGAGCTGGGAGAAAGCCCACACTTCAAGCTAATTGGGGAATGTGATTTATGACAGTTTATTGGAGGAGGGAATTGCACTTTGTTACTTTGTATCCAGGGGAGGAGAATTTAGTTTCTGGTTTCAATTATATAATGCCAATACTTTGTTTCTCGAATAAAAGATTCTTTAAGGTAAACAATGCCTGGAAGTTCTTTTGAAGAGTTTCATCTATCAGAACCATGACATTAGCATATTGAAAGCTCCTTTTTTTTTTTTTTTGAGTCCTGTACTGTGCAACATATTCTTAAGAGACTTGGATGAATGGTTAGAAAATATAAAAATTTCAGATCACACAAAAATAGGGGGATAACAAACACCTAAGAGGCCAGTATCAAGATTCAGGAGGATTTTAATAAACTGGAACAATGGGCATAAGCTAGCAACTTGGGCATGCTGCTACCGGTACTATAGTGAATTTCTACCCTATGCAGGGAGCTGAACTTCCAAACCCTTCAATTCTATGGCTCTATGAAGTAATACTGCTATTTATAGCACAAGTTGTAGATACCGTTATAGGAGTTCTGGAGTGATATACATGTTTTAATATTCATGTTTGACTGTGTAGCTTGTTAGCTAGTTTAGCCCTATTGCCTTTTAATCCCTGTTTTTTTATTTTTTAAAGAATTTAGTTTAACTCTCACCCAATACTATGTGCAAATTTCCATATAAGGATGTAACATACTAAAGTGATCTGATCACTTAATTTAGCTATAGTACATATATTTGCCCTCATTGTTTGATATTCTCCATCCTGTTTTAATCTGCATAACAGTTCATTCTCTTGGATTTCCAAGACATCCAGAACCATAAACTAGTTATATGTGCTGAATTTTTAAGATGTGATCAGCTACTTTATGGTTCTGTGTGATTTTCAAATTAGATACTGTGCATGTTCACGCTAAAAACCCAATGTGATTAACTCATTTGTTACTAGGCACAACTTAGACTGCGAGAATGTAAATATTTTAATCCAGATTAATCGGTAATACAAAATGCAAAGTTTCATTGTAAAATTGACATTTATTTCCTAAGAATTCCATAACATAAACAGAATTGAAGTCCTAAGCACATTTTCAGTATAATTTTCTATATTCAGAAATATAGTCTATTGATTCCTTTACTCCTCCCAAAACTTTAACCACACCACTATGAAACATGAGATAAACGCTAGTTATTTCCGGAGAAAACTACATGGCCTGGTCCGGCTTGCAATATACTTCACTATCTTTCTACAACGATGATTCGAAAAACGGTTAAACCTATGCAAGTCGAAAACAAAGATAACTTCCCTTATGTTAACTGATAACTTCCCCTGCCTAGTCTGTATTGTGCAACTGAATTCCACGCATGCTGGTTCAAACTACGTGCTTTGGTGTTCAACAAAGTTAACTCCAAATGCAGATTTACTGCTATAAGATTCTGAATTGCAAAGAATTTACAAGAATTTACAAATCATTGCTCTTACTGCAATGTAAAGGTTAAAAAAAATGAAACATAAGGTCCACAGCACCGTCCCTTTTATGGTATGCTTTTTGTTTAAATCAGCCTTTCTGATAAATTAGTCTAACAACGCTGCGTAATTTGTTATGCAAAAGCTACAGTACCTTAACAGCGAGGAGCCATTAAACACAGGAAACTACTAGAGCCTACGACTCCCAGAACTCTTGCTGCTAAGGCATCCAATACGTCAGCAAAGGGGGGGTTAACCCTTTCGATATTACTACGAAGGAAATGAGATTTACTATTCGAATCATGACTAAAAAAAGAAAAGGCTCCCCCTTTTACTACCACCGGTATTGAAGGCAGAAGCACGTTCTCTCCTCTCTTAACAGAATAACAGAACAGAATAACAGAGTTGGAAGGGACTTTGTAGATCATCTAGTCCAACTCCCTGCTCAAGCAAGAGACCCTGTAGTGCCATTTTTGTCAAGTGGCTGTTCAGTCTCTTCTTGAAAGCCCCCAATGATGAAGCACCCGCAATTTCTGAAGGCAAGCTGTTTCATTGGTTGATTGTTCTCACGTCAGAAAATTTCTCATTTCTAGGTTGCATCTTTCCTTGATCTGTTTCCATCCATTGTTCCTTATCTGGCCTTCGGGTGCTTTGGAAAAGCTGGGCTGCTAAATTATGAAACAGGGCAGCATGGAACTCTTTTATTGAGACATAGGTTGCTAAATCATTTATTTCAACAACAAGGTTTTTAATATTTGGCATGACTCATTCAGAGACCTTTCATCACCTAACTTTTTTTTTAAATTATCATCATTCATTGCTCAATGAGTTTCTGTTAAGCTGAATAAGCAAACAAATCACCTGACAAGATGGCAATGGTATTCTCTAAGGATACTGTGTTGAATATGTACACAGATATGCATTATTTATTTGATAAATTAAAAAAAAATAACATGGGTTTTGCTAAAAATAAGGTAATTTTAAAATCAGACGGGCATGATCTGAGGTTGTAAAAAAAACATTGTGCCATGTTCTTATGGCACAATACGGTTAAGGTAAAAGTAGATTTTAAGAATCATTATATCAGAAGTGCCATATTGGGAATAGATCTAAATCCAAATTGTGCTTAAATTGTCTTTAGGGGTCTCAACACATGAAGCATTTTACAGGAAAGAAACAATAAGTAAAAGATGGTTATCTTACTGAGAATTGTTGGAACAGGAACATGGAGAATATGAGATGAAGAGAGGACTACTGCAGAGGGGTTTAGTTTACAACTAGACAATCCACGACTCCTTGGGTCATCGTTTCAGAGATATTTCTTTACTAGATTCCTCAGTACTTTCAGCAGTGACAGAACTTCTAATGTACTGCCTTCAGTGGGAAAGTTAGGATACAATGAGAAAATGTATCTGTCTTGAAAATGGCACATTGAACTTTTTAGCACAAACTTTTCAGCACAGGAAATGTTTTGTGACATTTGCATTATATCATAAATTGTTTTATGATAATTTTATATCATAAAAGTGGTATAAAACTTATTCACTATACTTTATTTCATTTGTTTCTTTTCTAACAGTTGTATTTTTTATCTTGTCAACCTTTTTTAAAAAATGAAAATGCTGAAAATATTCAGTTATCTAAAAGTAATTGCATTTTGGATTAATGTATCCATATGCAAAAGTGGGAGGATCACAGAAAAGCCTTGGTAGTGGTCAACATTTGCACTGTTCATATTGATCAAATATGGTGCTTATTAGAGCATGATGTTACATCCTTGTACCCCGAGCACTAGCAATTCCAGGAGTGCAAAGACTTTTCCAGGTTTTGGTTCCCCACAATCAGGTCACTGAAGTTGGCTTATGGTGTTTGGTAAAAGGTAATTAATTTACAGGCTGAATGTAAATGTATATTCATTTACAGACTAAATATACATTTAAATTCAGGTACAGGCTGAGTATGGAGGGAGATTCAGAACATTAGCACTTCAAAAAATGTTTGTTCAGTCATTAAATCCTAAAGTTGTTTCCAGAACTTGAATATAATATTGTCTGCCACACCCCAGAAGTAGAATTCAAATTGCTTCCTTTTTTCTTTCTTTCAACTGAGAAATTGTATTAATTAATTAATCAAAGTGTAATTAATCAAGTGTAATCAAAGTGTAGACTACTGTAAGATAAGCTTCCAAACAAAAAGCTCTACTATATATAATGATAATCTTTATACAATTGAAGTATCAGATAAGAATCATGTAACAACTACAACTCACAGTGTTAATGGATTCTAAATGATAGAATGTCCATACAGTCATAAAAGAACTGTGATTTTAGGTTACATATAAAAAAAGAACTTTCAGTTATTCTATTAATAAGTTCCTTAGTAAATATGGAATCTATTGATTCATCTTCCCATGTTATTCATCTGATTCACAAAAGAAGCAGCTGATACCCATTTCATAAAAACAGTAAAGATAAAGGTTTCCCCTTTTTCCCCAGTTGATTCTGACTCTAAGAGGTGATGCCCACCTTCATTCCCTAGCAAGGGAGTCAGCATTCTCCAAAGATATTTCTGTAGTCATGTGACCAGCATGATTATAAGCAGAGGTACATGGAATGCTGTTATCGTTCCACTATTGCATTGGTAAGCTTTTGAACTGCTAGGTTGTCAGGAAATGGGGGGCAAGAACAGAAACATACCCCATCATGCGCTGCTTGGGTCTCAAACTGCCAACCTTTTAGTCTACAGACCCAGAGATAATTATTGCAGCTTTCTTTTCTCTTCCTAGGTGGCAGATTCCAGGGGTTTTACTGAGCAGGAAGGATCCAGTTATAGCTTCATGAAGCAGGACAGTGTTGGAGGTAATAGAGTTTTGGTCCTCTGTCTTCTTCCATTGGCTGGGTAGTTGAAGGACACATACCAAAACAGCGTGGTGGTGGTGGTGGTGAAGGCTGAAAATCTCTCTAAAAAGAATACCATGATGTTCGGGTGGAATTATCCATTTTCTTCAACAAAGCAGTCAATGTATTTTTATAATTTGTTATAATTTCCTTCAAGGATCTTAATTTAATCCCTCAATCCTGTAAAAATTCTGGAATTTCAGAATGTAAACTAGCTTCCCTGATTTAACCCACTTTGTAAATTCTTGAACTGATGAAGATGTCTAGAAAGCTTTGCTTTGATTAGAGCGTATGCATAGTTGTTAGTGCTCTGCCTATAGATATTAAATCTTTAATATTTAACTTAATCTGATATCCTATAGTTATGTATAGAATATAAGTTCTGGCACACTGTATATTGAAGCCACTAAATTGGGGACTAACCCCTCATCTCAATTCTTCAGTACTTCTTCATTCAGGTTTTTTTTTTTTTTTTTAGTGATTATGGACTACCTTTGCCCTTGGCTCCACAATTTTCATGAACAATGGATTTAAGATCATCTTGGAAAAGAATCTGGTTTTTTAGCTTTTCGCTCCAATCATCCACAATGTACTGATGATAAGGGTCATTGGAATGCTCTTGTCTCTTTGATTTCACTGTGCTTATTAAGATTGCCACAATAATAAAAGAGAAGATGCCAATCATTACCATAAGATACAAAATTACATAATCTAAATTTTCAGCATCAACTTTTTCTTGCAAGGCATCTTGTTCCATAGTGGTATTTCTACGCCAGTTGTTCATATAGTCAATGAAAATCTTCTTGAAAGCCTCTTCCAGAGAATGAGTGAAGTTTTGCAAAGCCGCCATATTTCAGTTAACTAACCTTAAAAACAAAAATATGTGTCAGTCATCTACATATGATAGAATTCATAAGAATTCACAGTTATAATCAGAGAGGAATATATGGCATTTGTCTATAAAACATCATGCTTATTAGAAATTTTTGGAAATATAGACTCAGTACAGCATGTTGAGCAAAGCTAGAAAACACAGAAAAACCTGTATATGCAGCTACATTTTTCTGAACAGAAATAAAGGACATGCTTGAAACATTTGCATTTTAAATTCAGAATACCATGGATCAACCATCATTAGAAATACATTTTTATACCCAGAAACAGACCTTTTAGAGAGCTGCAGCAGAATAACCGTGACTCAGTGCAGCTCATGATTGGAAAACAAACAGTGAGTACCTGGCTTGACATTAAAATGGCCTTGAAGTTAATTTATTATATTTGCAAAACTTCATTGCAGGGCCAACTTTAACATTATTGTAAACATTGTAACCAAATGAAGTTTAACGTTTTTAGAAAATTAAAAAAGACTTTGAAAGATTACAGGCTTTAAGGATTAGATTTCAAGGCTGTTACGATATATTTTTCCTGCATAAACAATAGGTTTTTTATTATTTTTTTAACAATGAAAAACAATTATTGCTAGAATCTTTATAACTCATCTATTTATCAAGTATTGCCAAGAAACTTTGTTCTTCATAAAACCTATATATTCTATAATTGAATTATACCAATACATTTTAACTTATAATTTTATTGTAGTAAAACAACATATTGATGATCAACATCTCCAGCCCTTTGCTGGTCACCAAGAAGTGGCACATAGCTAGAATATCTGACTAGACACTTAAAAATATCATAAGAGTGCTTTGAGTCACAAAAGTATCAATTTATATTACATATAAGAAGACAAATAACTTCACATTTTTTTAAACAAGTTTTTTATAGATCTTATGTTAGAACTTTAGAAATAATACATTTCTTAATGAGCAGAAGTGATGAAAACATCTAAAACTAAACTCAAGTTATTTGTGTAAGCTTTAAAAATTAACTGGGTGCATAATAATAATAATAATAATAATAATAATAATAATAATAATAATAATAATAATAATAATAATAAAGTTGGAAGGGATCTTGGAGGTCATCTAGTCCAACCCCCTGCTTTTTAGCTTTTAAAATTACTAATGGTTTATATTTTATTTTTCTTACACTGGTCTATGACTGTGATAAAGATTTTAAAAAATCTAAACAAAAATGCATTGAAGTATTTGGATAAACCTAAGTCATAAAGGAAAAAATAAAATAGGATTTCACTCACAGTAGATTCAGTCATCATAAAGTTAACACAGAAAAGAACAATATACAATAGAGAGGTCTCCAGCACAAACATATTTTACATTTTAACTTTTACATTTTAAAGTTTAGATGAATAAACATAAGTTTAGATGAATAAACATTGTGCAAATCTGTAAGTCTTTCACAATATTTTGCATTCTAAGGATATAACTATATCCCATGTGGACCCTGGAGGCAGTCTAAGAAAATAAAAATTATTAGTGGCTATAGCATATTGCTTTATTTAAAAATGAGGTAATTTGTCCATTTAAAAGACAAAAGTAAGGAAGGGGCGAAATATACAGCATTCTTATTGTTCCAAGGGGAATCTGTAGATCAACTTTCTCTGTTAGTTTTCTAATAAACAGACTTTTTATGATATGGCACATAGCAGCCTTTTTGTGACTATGTCCATATGTTCCTAAAATTCAGATATACCTACCAACTTAGAAAAATTGGATTAGGGTTATAATAAGATTGTAAGATTATGGATGAATGGATGGATGGATGGACGGAGAAATTACATGGATGAAACATTTGCTGCTGATGTATTGCAGATAGAAGTTTATTTAATTGATGCAGCAAGGTAGAATAAAGGCTATGAATTATTTTCTGATCCATATCTTAATTTAGCCATTGAAAGGTCTTAAGCAAGTTGAATTCATACATTAACCCATGGCTCGATTTACCTTACCAGATAGTGGTCTGATTCATCCATAGCATTTAGCCATAAGCTATTATTTACAAACCACAATGACTGGGTTGACACATGTTGTCAGAATCAAATTGCAGTATACCTTAACGCAATGTGTGAACTCAATCTCATAGCCCTATCCACAATTTATAATTAGGTTACCTGATTTTGCCGTATTCATTAGGTAAAGTATATTTTTAAAGAACTTATGGATAGCATTTGACAGATTTCCTTTCCAAGTTTATCGCTCATCCTATTTGGAAAGAATTTTAGTTTGTATATATCATAATCATATAGATGAATAAAACACACCCTTTGTGAGCACTTTGGGAGTGTTTGTGATCTCTAAAATAGTTTGTGGGAACTTGTCTGTACCAGCTATAATGTAAGTGTAATGAAGGATCCTTGCTTTACCAATTGGTACCTTTTGAAAATGGTGTAGCTAGTTTTTGTACCAGCCATATCCATGCAAAACCACTCTCTGAGAATGGAAAGTATAATAAATAATTCACTCTGGTTGTCTATATAGTATATGGCATATTCTGCTGGCAATTTTGTATGGGTCATAGACTGTCACTTAATCCTTGACATAGATGAGTTATTCTATCTGCACAATTAAAAAGCAAAGAAGGAACCTAGTGATGTTTGTGTGTCCTGTAGTTTGCCCTTGAAAATGTTGTCTAATCTAATTGTAATTTAAAAGCCTTAAAAGCTCTTATTGAATATCTTGTTCCCTTCCCCAACCTTCATTTCACTTTGCCATTTATATTTCAGTTGTCGAACCTTATTATATCTCTTCTATTAAATAGCTGAATGCCAGTAACACATTTCATAAATAGGGTTAAAGTGACATGTAGTCTCATTCAAATGGAAATCAGTGGAGCTGAAGACCATAATGAATAAATTTTCAGTTGAAATATATGAATGACATTGGCTTAAGTATGAAGGAAATAAGTCTAACTCATTAAATTCTTTGCTTAAGCATTTTATGTATTCTGGTTTCCTCAAAATTTTGCTTAGTTTCTTATCCATCCTGACTCAGTATACTATTTTTTTTTTTGCTTAATTTCAAATTAAAGTTAACAAATTATTTAAGGAAAATTAGTTATTGTTATCAAAGACTTACCTCTTCTGGATATCTGTATAAAAAATTCTCAGTAGCAAAGAACGTGTATTAATACTCTTGTGATATTCTTGAGGAGAACTAGGAAACCATCAAGCAGAAGAATCCATCTTATTCTATGAATAATTGCTTCATTGTAATCTGTCTTTAAAGTAGATGCATTTGTACATTTAATCTCACTAGAAAGTTAAATATTGGCTTACTCAACAAGTAACCTTGATACTTGGCAAGGACATGAAATACTTTTGGTCTTGTAAATTATTGGAATATAAAAATTTAAAGTTGCAGTCATGTTTTTACACCCAGCTGTAAAATTAGACAATATCTCTATTGAAGTTGTAATAACATGGCTTAAAACTGAAATTGTAACTTTCAGTGGGAAGGGAATAACTTTAAAAATAAAACAGAAGGGTAGTCACATTTATAAGCTTTTTCTTTAGAAGTATTTTTTACACTAAGCTTCTAAAACTCTGTTTTCTCAACCCACTGTTTTTAGACAAATAGGTGAACTCCCATCCAATAGAGTTATGGAACATAGTACATGTTTTTAAAAACGTGAAATTTTCTGGACAGGATATGCCCATCAAATTCCAATTTGTTTCCAGGCAGTTGCAAAACTTTAAATCAGTTGGGAAACTTTCGTGGTACTGATTTACTTCTCTCTTTTTCAAATGGGGTTTTATTCAATAGAGTGGGGAAAACAAAATGAGATTTGTCAAGGGTACTCAATTCAAAGGTATTTTGCCTTTTCTGTTTTAATACATTTTCTCTACAAGAAAATTACAGAAGATGAAGTGGAGGACTGCAAACCTCTGGACCTCTCATAAGAGTAAGTGAATACAGGAAGTCCTCAACTTACAACAGTTCATTTCATGACCATTTGAATTTAGATGGAACGTGTTAGTGTTCCTGATTATGATTTTCTGGGAATCTAATTTGGAGAAAAACCCTCAGCCTTGTAAATATTGCAGAGCCAGTGGTTTGAAAAATATGGCTTTGGACATATCTTGTGATCTGAGAGTTAAAGATAGGACCTCACAGGCTTTTGAAGCTCTAAGCTTGTCCTTGGCTTCTTAAATACTAGAAACCATATTCCATCAGATAATTAGGTTTGGGAGGAAAGCTTCATTTTATTTAATTGAATTGGGGGGGGGGGGAGGACTCATATTATTATAGGAAGAGTGGTGCAAGCTCTTCAGCTTCTTCTGAGAGAAAATCTTAAAGTCAGAAGAGATTTATTTATTTATTTATTTATTTATGAGACTTATATACCGCTTTAAGTGCAAGCACTCTCTAAGCGGTGTACACCAGTAAGCAATGTATATATATATATGTGTATATATATATATATATATATATATATATATATATATATATATATATATATATATATATATATATATATATGTTTTCTGAGGTTTTCGCGGGTGTTTGTATGTAGGTCTTTGGTTGTTCGGGTTTTCTCCCGCGTAAAATTGGAAGTGTCTTGGCGACGTTTCGACGAAGTCCCATTCGTCATCTTCAGGCTGGTGTTTTCAGCTTCGTGCTTCGAGCAGCAATGTGTGGTCTTAGCTGTTTCTTCCTTTTAACTGCCAGTGGGGGTATGAACTGATTGGGTGGGAGCTTGGCTGTGTTCTGATTGGGTGGAGGTGTGTTCTGATTGGTTAGGGGCGTGGCTGTGCTCTGATTGGCTGGGGAGTTGGCTGTGCTCTGATTGGCTGGGGGAGTGTTCTGTTTGGTTGTGCTCAGGTTAGTCTGAGTTGCAGAGGGGTTTAAGATTTTGGGCTGCCTTGCTATTTTTTGGCTTCGCGTTTGTGGTCGTGCCTCATTTTCATGGAGGGTGTCAGTTTGCTTCGTGTATGGATTGGAGGGCTTTAAAGTGGCTAATGATAAAAATCGGATCACAAACCCAAACTCTGGCTCAGATACGTAGACGACACCTTCATAATCTGGCCACATGGGAAAGAAAAACTGGACAACTTCCTCACACACCTCAACAGCCTACACCCCAAAATACAGTTCACCATGGAAACAGAAGCTAACAACCAACTTCCCTTCCTGGATGTCTTAGTCTACAAGAAATCCAATGGCTCCCTAGGACACACCATCTACCAGAAGAAAACACACACAAACCGCTATCTGCACGCTCTCTCACACCACCACCCAGCACAGATCAACTCTGTAGCCAAGACACTCATCTCCAGAACAAAACGCTTAGCTGACGAACAACACCTAAAAACCGAACTACACACTCTCACCAATGTACTAACATCCAATGGATTCCAAAGAAATAAGATTACAAACCTAATCCAAAAAGAAACCCCCACTAAAATCCAAGACAAAGAACAAGAAAACGGCAAAGCCCTCCTCCCATACATAAAAGGCACCACAGACAGAATCAGTAAGATCCTCCATAAACACAACATCAAAACAGCATTCTGCACAAACAGAAAAATATCCACCATCCTTAGAAACCCCAAAGATAAAATTGAATTAGAAAATCAAGGAGTATACGAAATCCCATGCACCACTTGTCCCACCACATACATCGGACAAACCAACAGAAGAATAAGTGCACGCATTGAAGAACATAAGAACTCAGTCAAAAAAGAGGAACCAACATCTTCCCTGGTCCAACACCTTAAAGCCACAGGACATGAAATTGACTTTAAAAATACCAGAACCATTGCCAAAAGTGAACATTTTAATAACAGAATAATCAGAGAAGCCATCGAGATAGAAAAACGCCCACACAGCATGAACAAGCGAGATGATACCTCCCGCCTACCAGCCATTTGGAAACCCGCCCTTATTGACAAACGACTCCCTAACACAAAAAATGATACCAGACCCACACTCACAAAAACCACACAGGATGTCACCACCACACATCCACGCAAAAAGCAAACCCAAAGCCACACCGATGATGAGGCACGACCACAAACCAGAAGCCAGACCAGAGCTGCATCATTAGCCACTTTAAAGCCCTCCAATCCATACACGAAGCAAACTGACACCCTCCATGAAAATGAGGCACGACCACAAACGCGAAGCCAAAAAATAGCAAGGCAGCCCAAAATCTTAAACCCCTCTGCAACTCAGACTAACCTGAGCACAACCAAACAGAACACTCCCCCAGCCAATCAGAGCACAGCCAACCCCCCAGCCAATCAGAGCACAGCCACGCCCCTAACCAATCAGAACACACCTCCACCCAATCAGAACACAGCCAAGCTCCCACCCAATCAGTTCATACCCCCACTGGCAGTTAAAAGGAAGAAACAGCTAAGACCACACATTGCTGCTCGAAGCACGAAGCTGAAAACACCAGCCTGAAGATGACGAATGGGACTTCGTCGAAACGTCGCCAAGACACTTCCAATTTTACGCGGGAGAAAACCCGAACAACCAAAGACCTACATATATATATATATATAATATATATATATATATATATATATATATATATAATATAATATTTTCTGAGGTTTTCGCGGGTATTTGTATGTAGGTCTTTGGTTGTTCGGGTTTTCTCCCGCGTAAAATTGGAAGTGTCTTGGCGACATTTCGACGAAGTCCCATTCGTCATCTTCAGGCTGGTGCTTTCAGCTTCGTGCCTCGAGCAGCAATGTGTGGTCTTAGCTGTTTCTTCCTTTTAACTGCCAGTGGGGGTATGAACTTAGTCTACAAGAAATCCAATGGCTCCCTAGGACACACCATCTACCAGAAGAAAACACACACAAACCGCTATCTGCACGCTCTCTCACACCACCACCCAGCACAGATCAACTCTGTAGCCAAGACACTCATCTCCAGAACAAAACGCTTAGCTGACGAACAACACCTAAAACCCGAACTACACACTCTCACCAATGTACTAACATCCAATGGATTCCATAGAAATAAGATTACAAACCTAATCCAAAAAGAAACCCCCACTAAAATCCAAGACAAAGAACAAGAAAACGGCAAAGCCATCCTCCCATACATAAAAGGCATCACAGACAGAATCAGTAAGATCCTCCATAAACACAACATCAAAACAGCATTCTGCACAAACAGAAAAATATCCACCATCCTTAGAAACCCCAAAGATAAAATTGAATTAGAAAATCAAGGAGTATACGAAATCCCATGCACCACTTGTCCCACCACATACATCGGACAAACCAACAGAAGAATAAGTGCACGCATTGAAGAACATAAGAACTCAGTCAAAAAAGAGGAACCAACATCTTCCCTGGTCCAACACCTTAAAGCCACAGGACATGAAATTGACTTTAAAAATACCAGAACCATTGCCAAAAGTGAACATTTTAATAACAGAATAATCAGAGAAGCCATCGAGATAGAAAAACGCCCACACAGCATGAACAAGCGAGATGATACCTCCCGCCTACCAGCCATTTGGAAACCCGCCCTTATTGACAAACGACTCCCTAACACAAAAAATGATACCAGACCCACACTCACAAAAACCACACAGGATGTCACCACCACACATCCACGCAAAAAACAAACCCAAAGCCACACTGACTATGAGGCACGACCACAAACCAGAAGCCAGACCACAGCTGCATCATTAGCCACTTTAAACCCCCCCAATCCATACATGAAGCAAACTGACACCCTCCATGAAGAGGAAGCACGACCACGAACGCGAAGCCAAGGAATGGCAGGGCAGCCCAAAATCTTGAATCCCTCTGCAACTCAGACTAACCTGAGCACAACCAAACAGAACACTCCCCCAGCCAATCAGAGCACAGCCAACCCCCCAGCCAATCAGAGCACAGCCAACCCCCCAGCCAATCAGAGCACAGCCAAGCCCCTAACCAATCAGAACACACCTCCACCCAATCAGAACACAGCCAAGCTCCCACCCAATCAGTTCATACCCCCACTGGCAGTTAAAAGGAAGAAACAGCTAAGACCACACATTGCTGCTCGAAGCACGAAGCTGAAAACACCAGCCTGAAGATGACGAATGGGACTTCGTCGAAACGTCGCCAAGACACTTCCAATTTTACGTGGGAGAAAACCCGAACAACCAAAGACCTACATATATATATATATATATATATATATATATATATATATATATATATATATATATTTACATTGCCCCCAACAATCTGGGTCCTCATTTTACCTACCTCGGAAGGATGGAAGGCTGAGTCAACCTTGAGCCGGTGAGATTTGAACCGCTGACCTGCTGAACACAGTCAGCTAAAGTGGCCTGCAGTACTGCACTCTAACTGCTGCGCCACCTCGGCTCTTAATCTGCAAGTAAGGGGGGAGAGAACAATAAAATGAAGGTGTCCATAATTGTTACATTAAAAGGTGCAACAGTATTTTAATAACACTTTTTAAAATAAACTGCAGCCATCCTGTTGATTTCAGTAACATTTGCTTACAACAATTCAAAGCTTGGCAGTATTTTGTATATTCTCACTGAAGGTCACTTTCACTTAAGAGCCACCACTTTCACTTGATATCTTGCACACTTTCACATATCTTAATTAGCAGGCTTATATTTCACAATTAAGAAAGGTGCATTATTAAGCCTTTCTTTAGATATCATACTGCCCCACCCCATCATACGCCATGCAGACCTTTTGGAAAGAAGTAATCAGAGCTGTTTCAGAGGGCCTTTAATAGTTTGTTTATTTTCAATAACCTTGTATGACTGGTGGTTAAAGACATGGTCCAATACTCTTCAGAACATTTGAAGTATTATTCAAATTGGTATTCCAGGCTACTAATTTATATATTTTTACTTACTTGTTAGAATTCTTTTAGGAGCATAAGGCATTTTACAAACTGGATGTTCTTCTGCAGCCTTCCTCTCTCAATTTCCCCCCATAATAACAACAGTGTGAGATAGGTTGGGCTGAGAGAAAGTGACTAGGACAAAGTTTTCCAATAAAGCTTTGATGGGGAAAGGTGGATCTGAACCTGGATTTGCCCTTTGCCAGTCAGTGCCAACCACCTACTGCTCTTGGGCACCATGCAAATACGGTACTTTTCATGTGAGGAAATATCTCACCAGAAGATTTATCATCTTAAATAAGCTTTCTGGTTGTAAGTGTTTATTGACCATAGTTGTGACTTTACAACCTTATTAAAACTTCTGGCTCTTAAAAGCCTATCTGCTTTCAAAAGAGAGAAATATCATTCCAGCGTGAAGGTTCTAGTGTTCCATAACAAACAATGCTACATTCAACATTTATTTTATTCTAAATTCTGTCATATTTCCATTTCCTTAGGTTTGTTGGTTTCTTACCCACATTAAGATAACTCATACAGGTATACGATGTATGCTTGGGGTATGTATTCTTTGAAAATGATTCCAAAGAGGTGCCTTGTAATTGTTGGGAGGTTGTTTTGGCTGTGGTACATTTGAAACCATTGCAAAAATGGTGGCTCATTTCCTCACAGAGAGAGCCACATTCCATCCTTTGTCTTGGTTTCTGAACATTAAGCAAAATGCTACTCCAAGGCTTTGCCTGCTCTTTCTCCCTCAATAATGTAAAGGAAACAGATGGGTAAAATTGACTTAGTTTTGTCAGTTTCCCCTTTGTTTCCAGCAGAGGAGCAGCATGAAATGGCTTTTGCTCCCATGTCATGTCAGCAGAAGTGAAGACAAACCTGTCTTACCTTCAGACGACTTCCAAACGTTTGGACAGTGAACATGATAGTGGTAGACTATGTAGGCTTGAGTTATCTTGTTGCTATTGCTAAATAGTTAGAATTTAGGACTACATTAAATTAACTAATGGTATGATTTAAAACCTGTACTGACTTAAATATCTAGCATGGTTTCCATATTCTATTCAGTGAATCCCATGTTAACAAGTCAGTAGGAGGGGCTACTAAGTTCATCACAGGATATCCTGGCTACGTGCCAGCAGTTTGGAATATCTTTGACTGAGATAAGCATGGGTTCACCGAAGGACAGACACGGTCTTAATTCACGCTAGAAGTTGATGTGAAGGAATTAATGATTTTACCTACAAAGATGAATCAAATATGTAACATTTATTTATTTATTTATGAGACTTATATACCGCTTTAAGTGCAAGCACTCTCTAAGCGGTGTACACCAGTAAGCAATGTATGTATATATTTACATTGCCTCCAACAATCTGGGTCCTCATTTTACCTACCCCGGAAGGATGGAAGGCTGAGTCAACCTTGAGCCGGTGAGATTTGAACCGCTGACCTGCTGAACAGAGTCAGCTAAAGTGGCCTGCAGTACTGCACTCTAACTGCTGCGCCACCTCACGTGAGTTCTACCAGTATTCCTGAATAAATATTTGTTTTATAATCATCTTTGCTGAGTTATCTGTCTGGCCTTGAATTACAAAGCATCTTGATTCAGGTTCCAGAACACATGATATACTTCCATATAGATTCATTGCATTAAGACTATGAGGAAACTTCCACATGTAGAAATCTACAGTTTAAAAGCAGCTTTGCCTTTTTGTTTTGTTTTGTTTTTATTTTTTTGTTTGGCAGCAAACACTAGAAGTTTACTTTCAAAGAACAGATGATTTAGCGGTTCCCAATCAGAAACATCAGGTGGAAAATGGTGAAAAGGAGAAAATATGGTCTGTGGCAAAGCCATAGGCATCACTTTCTAACTACAGTAATGACAAAATAACAAAATGATGTTGTAACACATCTCCATCTGTTCATACTTGCATTATGGCATTGCATGCAAATATATAGGGGTGGAATTTACTTACCAAAAGCCATGGAAACAGCCTTTAATAAATGTGTAATAAAGGCTTTCCCTGATTACATCTCCCTTTTTCTCTAGCCAATATACACAATGATAGGAATGGCTTGGGATGATGTAATCCAAATATTTGGACAACATAACCTGAAATGTTGCTGGTGTTATCAGGAATAACAATTGTAGTCAAGCTCAGTAGAATGATCTGAACGAGCCGTGTCACACTTTTAAGATATGAGAGCCTGTTCCTGTTACAGTTCTTGATATTTTCAATAACCTTGACTTGGAATGTCCTTATACTTGTCTTTACCTTGGTAAATCTTAGCAGAGAGAATAGAAGCAAACTCAGGAGGTCACCAGAAAATGGGGAAGCTACCAAGTTTCTGTGGTGACAGTAAGAGAAAGCAAAGCAACACACGATGCCTGTCACACTGCCCCTCCCCAATTTTCACAACTGTCATTGTTTCTGCCAACATCCAGCCAAAGCCATAGTACAGTTACATCCGAGGCATGTACAATGGTCTAGATGCACGTCAGAAGCAAGAATATTGCTTCAGAATACTGTAGTGCAGATTAAAGTATCTATAAATTTTGTGACAATACAATATATGTATGTATGTATGTATGTATGTATGTATGTATGTATGTATGTATGTATGTATAAATACTGAATCAGAAACTGCCCCGAGGTTTACAACAGAGGGCCTATATCCAGTTTCGTAGAGTGGTGATAATTGTTATTAAGTCACATTCTAGATAAGTTGCAGAAACATGGGTGGACTATCTGTACATTTCATAGAAATGCAAGTAATATGTCACAACATACATACATTTATATATTTATTTTTTATTTATTTTATTTACTACATTTATTGGCCACCGATCTTACCATAGGGTAACTTTAGGCGGCTTGCAATATTAAAAAGATGAAACTATATAAATAAAATCCTACAAACATATAAATATACAAAATACAATACCTAAAGGATGGGAAGGGAGGGAGTAGGATGAGTGGGGAGGGTAGGAACAATTTATGAAGCCATGATTGGGAGTAGGAGGGCAAATTTTTAAAATCCTTTCCATGCCAGCTATTTTTCAACTCAAAATTGTCATGGTGGCAATTTTAGGTGTTTATTAGACCCTGTGCAGAGGAAAAAGAAGCAGTTTCAACTGATAGAAGGTATTTGTTTTGAATATGTATTAGAGGAAATTTCTCTGTTCTTGGCTGTAATAATTGCTTTGATAACTTTTCTGAAAAACAGAATGCACCCAAGGTATATATAAGTGCAGCTAGCCTGCTGGCCCTGCCAAAATCAGAGTCTATATACAAATAATTTTAATTGATGTAAGGCAACAGCAGTGAGGAAATTTGGCACAGTGGGGGTAGACTTGAGGGGGAGAAGAAGGCTTAGCAGCAGTCTGCCAATTGCTCTCCTGTGCCTGGTGCTGGCTTGCCTGCAGATGGCAGAAACTCATCCTGGAACCTTCGACATGTAAAGCAAATGAGCCACAGGGAGTAGACTAAAAATCAGAGTCAAGACATAATGTGAAGAATCATACTTATTTCCTACCTAGAACATGAATATATAGACCAAAGTAGTTACAAATCTTTAAATGCATATATTGCTTTTGCACTATAAACTAGAAAACGCCAGGAAAAAGTCCTAGAATCTGTTCATAATACTATGGCTGAACTTGAGGAAATATGAAATAATAGTGCTGGACTTCAGCATATCCAGGCTGCCTTGCCTTTTCCACCAAAACAGTCAGCTCTAAACATCTCCATCTCTGTTCAGATGAAAGCACTTCAGAGAGTAGAGAGTTTGCAAAGAAGCCAAATCCTGTATATTTCTCATCCGTAGTTTCTAGCACGTTAATCTATTTTTGCATTTCCTTCTCTCATAGGCTGCCCATATGTATAAATACGTGCTTGAGAGTCTTCCACAAGGCCAGAGTTTTGGTCCCTGTCTCCATCAGCAAAAAGAAAAGCACTGCTCTTTAGCAGCTGGGGTTAACCCAACCTGAGTACTGTACTTAAACAGAAATATATGATATAAAATACAGCCAGCCTTCTGAAACTCTTTCTTCATGCTTACCTGCTCATTATTTATTTTGATCCTAACAAATCTGTTTGTCCAAATCTATTTTTTACAGGTAGGTATAATTTGTGAAGCTATTTTAAAAGCAAACATTGGGTTCCGAACATAAATCAGAATTAAAATTTTTAAACAAAAGAAATACCCGTTAGTTGAATTTTGATCCCTGAATTTGAGATTTTACCCTTTTAAATTGTTTAAACAATAAGCATGGTATGACTTAATTAACATTCAGCAACAAAAACTTTATTTTTAAAGCCCTTCATAATTTGAAGCTTCCCTTCCCTTGATGTGTTCAAACAGAGGTTGCTTTTATTTGGATTTTTGCACTGAACAGGGGATTGGACTTCATAGCCAAATGGTTCCTTCCAATTCAGTGAT